TTGGATCGACGACGAGGAGGACAGCTGCGGCAGCAACGAAGATCATAAACCGAAGATGGAGGATCAGCCAATGGCCACAGAGGATGTCACCGATAAGGCGGTGCCGGCAGGCAGCGAAGAAGATCCCAAGGATCTGATTACCAAGGCCAAGGTGGAGGACGATGAGTACAAGACGGAGGAGCAGACCTACTACAGCATCGCTCACACCATTCACGAAAAGGTCGTTGAGCAGGCCAGCATCATGGTGAACGGCCAGCTGAAGGAGTACCAGATCAAGGGACTGGAGTGGTTGGTCTCGCTGTACAACAACAATTTGAATGGCATTCTGGCCGATGAAATGGGTTTGGGCAAAACCATTCAAACCATTTCGCTGGTTACCTACCTGATGGATCGGAAAAAGGTTATGGGTCCCTACTTGATCATTGTTCCACTCTCGACCCTGCCCAATTGGGTGCTGGAGTTCGAGAAGTGGGCGCCGGCAGTGGGCGTGGTCAGCTACAAGGGCAGCCCGCAAGGAAGGCGATTGCTGCAGAATCAAATGCGTGCAACCAAGTTTAATGTGCTGCTAACCACCTACGAGTACGTGATCAAGGACAAAGCTGTGCTGGCCAAGATCCAGTGGAAGTACATGATCATCGACGAGGGTCATCGGATGAAGAACCACCACTGCAAACTCACCCAGGTGCTGAACACGCACTACATTGCTCCCTATCGATTGCTACTCACGGGTACGCCGCTGCAAAACAAACTGCCCGAGTTGTGGGCTTTGCTTAATTTCCTGCTGCCCTCGATCTTCAAGTCGTGCTCCACTTTCGAGCAGTGGTTCAATGCCCCATTCGCCACCACCGGCGAGAAGGTCGAGCTGAACGAGGAGGAGACCATCCTTATCATTCGCCGTCTGCACAAGGTGCTGCGTCCCTTCCTGCTGCGTCGCCTTAAAAAGGAGGTGGAGCACCAGCTGCCCGACAAGGTGGAGTACATCATCAAGTGCGACATGTCCGCCCTGCAGCGGGTGCTCTACAAGCACATGCAGAGCAAGGGCGTCCTGCTGACCGACGGCTCCGAGAAGGGCAAGCATGGCAAGGGCGGCGCCAAGGCGCTGATGAACACGATCGTCCAGCTGCGCAAGCTGTGCAACCATCCGTTCATGTTCCAGCACATCGAGGAGAAGTACTGCGACCACACTGGAGGCCACGGGGTGGTGTCCGGTAAGTTCCGTTTATTATTTATTATTATTGCAGAGGGTATAATGATTTCAGTCAGAAGGAGACGTTTCCGACCCCATAAAGTATATATATTCTTGATCAGCATTACTAGACGAGTCGATTTAGACATCCGTTTGTCCGCCCGTCTGTCTGTCCGTTTCTACGCAAACTAGTCTCTCAGTTCTTAGGCTATCGGGATGAAACTTTCCCAAAAGTTTTCTTTCTATTGCAGGTAGTATATAAGTCGGAACAGGCCGGGTCGGACAACTATATCTTATAGCTCCCATAGGAAAGATCCGAAAAAAAACGTTAACAAAATTCTAGCTTCGGTGTTTTTTGAAATATTACATTCTACTCTTGGGAACATTATTTTTTAAATATTTCTGAATTTCGAATTAAATTTTTAAAAAATCGGATCACTACATCATATAGCTGCCATAGGAACGGTCGGAAAATTAAATGAAAATTATATTTTTATTACATTTTCTTCTTTAGGCCTAGTACTCACTTCAATCAAAAAGGCAACGAAACGAAAATTTCTATACAAAAATGACAGGCGGAAAATTTCGTGATCAAAATTTTGTATGGAGATTTTCATTTCGTAGGCTTTTTGATTGAAGTGAGTACTAGGCATTACTGGGATATAGCTTTTCTTTAACACTTTAAAATTTCGAATTAAGTTTAACAAAACTCGGACGTCTATATTACATAGCTCCCATAGGAAGAATAAAAAAAATAATGCCAAAATAATACGAAAGCAGCTAAAATGTTAATTGTTTTAACTTACATATAAGCAAGTAAATCTAAATTTAATTTGTAAGTTAATAGGAATGATCTGCAAGGGTATATAAGCCTCGGCTGGCCGAATTTAGCTTTCTTTCTTGTTTTAGTTTAATTTTAATTATTTAAATATTCGTGAGTTATTGAAGATATCAGTAGTTTGGTGTTTTTAAATATTAATGAATGATTTTTTTATTTTTTGAAAAGTATTTCTTCTAGTATTTCATACTGTTTGACGATTAAGAAATTAAGAATTATAAGTAATTCCAATTTTCCCCTTTCAGGACCCGATCTTTATCGCGTATCCGGCAAATTCGAGTTGCTCGATCGCATCCTGCCCAAGCTGAAGGCCACCAACCATCGTGTCCTGCTCTTCTGTCAGATGACCCAGTGCATGACCATCATCGAAGACTACTTGGGATGGCGCCAGTTCGGCTACCTGCGACTGGACGGCACCACGAAGGCCGAGGATCGTGGCGAACTGCTGCGCAAATTCAACGCCAAGGGCTCGGACGTCTTTGTCTTTCTGCTGTCTACCCGAGCCGGCGGCTTGGGTCTCAATCTGCAGACCGCCGACACTGTGGTGATCTTCGACTCCGATTGGAATCCCCACCAGGATCTGCAGGCGCAGGATCGTGCCCATCGTATTGGTCAGCGAAACGAGGTGCGCGTCCTCCGGCTGATGACAGTTAACTCCGTGGAAGAGCGCATCCTGGCTGCCGCCAGATACAAGCTGAACATGGACGAGAAGGTCATCCAAGCTGGCATGTTCGATCAAAAGTCAACGGGCAGCGAGCGGCAGCAGTTCCTCCAGACGATTCTGCATCAGGACGACAACGAGGAGGAGGAGGAAAATGAGGTGCCTGATGATGAGATGATCAACATGATGATTGCTCGCAGCGAGGAGGAGATCGAGGTCTTTAAGCGCATGGATGCGGAGCGCAAGAAGGAGGACGAGGAGATCCATCCGGGTAGGGAGCGTCTTATCGATGAGTCCGAGTTACCAGACTGGTTGACCAAGGACGACGACGAGGTGGAGCGTTTCCACTATCAGTACGACGAGGATACCATTCTTGGTGAGTTCAAGTGATATCATTTGTTTAATGCAGGGACTGCAAATAAGTGTTTTGAAATTTAAAAAATTTAATGCGTCTAAAAAATATAGGGAAAATACCACCTACTTAGTTTGACTCGTCAAATGGTAAAACGTGATAAACCTTTTTTTAAATTTTTATAATAAAAATTGAAAATAAGTCTTATTATAAAAATTGAAAATAAAAATTGAATGCCAAAATCTTTTAAACCAATGAGAATATTGCATACCTTTCTAATGAGTTATGACACGACCATGTCTAAGGACATTTTAAGGACTTAAAATGGCTTTTAATGTTCTATGTATGTAACTTCTATGTTCTGTGGAAGTATTATGACGTTCTAAAAACATGTAGCACCAGAAAATCTAAATGAAAAGAATAAATAGCCCAGTCGAAATGCACCTGTCCATCTGTCTGTTTTATGCATAACGTAATAAAAAAAATTAGAGCCGCGAATTTTCCAATTACTTATAAGTATATTTAACTAAGGTAAAATATGTATGATTCGCAAAAACACATATAACACAACACAGAACAAGAGGTTCTTAAGAATTCGCGGTTTTTGAAAAGTCTATATAGAATATATCTTTTTATAAAAATATTTATTATTTTATAATTTGTATTTTAAAAATCATAAGAATTACGATCCCTGGTCTAATGAGTTAACTAATGGTGAATATATTTCGTTCTAGGTCGAGGTTCCCGGCAGCGAAAGGAGGTGGACTACACGGACAGTTTGACGGAGAAGGAGTGGCTGAAGGCTATCGACGATGGCGCTGAGTTCGACGAGGAGGAGGAGGAAGACGACTCCAAGCGCAAGCGACGCAAGCGAAAGAATCGAAAGGAAGAGTCCGACGACGATTCGATGATCCTCAAGCGGCGACGACGCCAGAACCTGGACAAGCGATCCAAGAAGCAGATGCACAAGATTATGAGCGCGGTGATTAAGCACAACCAGGATGGACGCACCCTGTCCGAGCCGTTCATGAAGTTGCCGTCGCGGCAGCGGTTGCCCGACTACTACGAGATCATCAAGCGGCCGGTGGACATTAAGAAGATCCTGCAGCGCATCGAGGACTGCAAATATGCCGATCTCAACGAGCTGGAGAAGGACTTTATGCAGCTGTGCCAGAATGCGCAGATCTACAACGAAGAGGCATCGCTCATCTACCTGGATTCGATTGCCTTGCAAAAGATATTTGTTGGCGCCAGGCAGAGGGTAACAGCTGCAGCGGATGCAGCCGCAGTGGCGGCCGGAGATAATACGGGGGAGGCACATGGAAACGGCGGGGGATCCGACAACTCGGACAATGAGGACGACGATGGCGGCGATGATGGCTCTGATGACGAGGAGATTGCCACCACCTCGGCGGCTGCTGTCAAAATGAAGCTGAAACTGAATAAATCTCTGGCCAGTGCCCCGGCCACGCCCACGCAATCATCTTCAAATGTGGGCAGCGGAGCGGCCACCACATCCAAGAAGCAGACGCGACGCAAGCGGTCGCAGAAGAAGTACACCATTTCCGACGACGACGACGATGACATGGACTAGCTGCCGTTGGGAGTGATCTTCAAGCGCGCATCGACGGATGTCGAAGGCATGGGCAATTGATTTTTAGTTAGTTTAAGTTCAAAACACCTTTGAGGAAGATGCTTAGCGAAACCCTAACCCAAGGGTTTCTCTAACCATCTAGACTCCCTATCGGGCTATCACTTTTATATATCTATCTTTCCTAGTTGTAGGTTTCGATTTAAGTTCAATTTTAATTATTTACGCACACAAACATTTATTTCTCCCCATTCTTTTGATTGTATAATTACGTGCTTTAAAATAAATGCATACATAACATAAAAATAACATTAAATAAAATAATATTTCTTTGGTTTCTTAGAGGAGACAAGTCCAGGTTATCAAACATTATATTATAGAGTCAGGAACCAGTGGGTTTTAAGGAATGACCTGAATCCCGGAAATTTGCGAAGTTCGGAGAGCTGCTTTCTTGATAACGCTTGCAAGGAGCGAAGCAGCAAAGTATCCGGTAACGAAGTGCAGTTGGTTAGTCTTATCACAGACTTTAATGCTGTAGAGCAGACCATTGGATATATCTTTACGTTTGGATCCACCGGCACATTGGTGTAGGCCACTCCTAACGCCTTTCGGTTTATATAGAACTCCAAGTGGCCGCGACTACGATCCAAATAGACACCAATCAGACAGCCCTGGGAGAACTTTTGGGCGTAGGGCAGCCGCTCGCCGCAGTTTTGGATCTGGCCGGAGTACGAAAGACCCCAGGAATGGGCATTGCTACCCAAAGCAGAAACATATTGGAATCTATGTTGTCCGGAATCTATGCTCTGCGTACCGATGCCAAACATCTGGGAAGGGAAAATCAAAAGGTGATTGCAGATCAAACACACATAGTTTGAAGTGATTATTTCCTCTTATCAGTAGGACAAAGTCACGATTAACGGAAGCTAAATTCGGCAAGCCGAAGTTTTAATACCCTTGCTGATTTCACGAATTAAAATTTGACTACAATAGCAACATGAATTAATAAACAAAATATTTCATAATTTAAAAAATACACCTTTTTTAATTTTTTACCCTATTGTTCCTATGGGAGCTATAGGATATAGACGTCCAATCGAATCGCGCTTTTACCCTGATCAAGGTATGCACAAAAAAATAAGATTTGGAAAGATTCATGTCAAAAACTTTTACACTGCTCGAAAAATCTTCAGTTTTTGCAAGTTATATCCGATTGTGATCAAGAATATATATACTTTATGGGGTCGGAAACGTTTCCCTCACTGCGTTACAAACATCTGACCAAAATTATAATACCCTCTGGAGGGGTATAAAAAGTGGTGATAACCCAAGTCGACTTACTACATCTGTGCCGTACAGAGGAGATATAGCAAGCATCTCCCAATAATGCACCATGCCGGGTTCTAGAGACTTTTTTCCCTTCACAATGGCGGTTCCCTGACTTCTGGTGGGATGAAAAGTAATGTCTCTTTCAGTGACCAAAGCATCCGACTCTTCTGTGGTGTCCCATTGCCAGGAGTAGCCATTGCCGACACCATACTCTCCGCATCGACACTTGACCAAGTCAGGTATATGGCCCTTGTAACGGACTATGTCGTTGGAGCTGGGAAACCAGCACTGGCAATATCTTTGGGTCATGAAAATGCAGTTTGCAAATGCGCCAAAGTCGGGTCTTTATCTGTATCGGATGACGAATTCTTACTAGCTCACTTCCGATCTCGGCAAAATTCCGATTGTGACTGACGCGGCTAGTGTGAAATGATGATAGTAAGAATTAAGATATTGATCCTGATTAGCTTTATAGCTAGATCCCAAAGTAGAGATAATTTTCAAAGCGAGATCAAAAAATCGTGTACCACCAAAAGACCTCATTGCACCTCAGTAGAAATTTATTAAAAAAGAATTGTTTATGTTTGAAGCCTGGTAACATATTCTGTTAATATGCAGTCGTCAAAAGTACTTAAAATGATTTATGATGAACGCACGAACGATCTTGAGATCCAGGAAATAAAAATAATATTATTGGTATACATGTTATATTTCACACATGGGCTTTAGCATTGCCCACCAGACCAGCCCACTAAACAGGAATGACAAATAAAAAAGAAAGTAGAATAAATATATATTCCACACCTATATAACCTATGTTTAACCTATTCATAATTTTCTAATCTGATGTTTTTCCAGATGCCGAAGTAATCAAATGCAACTACAAAGGTTTTTTCGATAATGATTTATCTTCTTTTAATTCCCTAGTAAACTATTGGAAAGTCTAAACACAACGTAAATTAAACGTGTTTTTTAACATTTCTACTTAATACATTTATATTTACGTTCCGTGAAGTAAATGCATAAATATTTTGATATGTTTTTATAGGTGCTAGCTACAGCAGGTAGTGGAAATACTCATCGCACATCTCGTGGACGGAAGCGGTGTGCTCCTCGTCGCCGCTATCAGTGCTCCTCAGCGTGATCTTGTGGGCATTGGCGTACAAGTCGTCCTCGTCAACGGTCGCATCTTCAGTTTCTATTAATATAAATTACGGAACGAGTGATTAGATGGGTGGAAAAGTGGAAATGACTCAGTGATCTCACCTCGGTACTTTTGCTTGCGTCCCAGCCTCAGCTTGGAACTGGAGAGCACCGCCTCGTCGCCCAAATCCAATTCGTTTTCCCGCGAGTTTCGGGAGTAACGAATGGGCGGTGCCAGGAACCAGTACGATTGTAGGATGCCCTTTAGACCCGGCATCTGACGCAGTTCGGCCAGCTTAAGCGGCTGCCGGGACAAAGCTTGAAAGGATCTCAGCTGCAGCGTCGCCGGTTGCGATGTGCAGTTAATCAGCCTTATCACAGATTTGGCCGCCGTGGAGCAGACCATGGGATATATACTGACATCCGGATCTGTGGGCACATTTGTGTAGGCCACTCCCAGCGACCGGCGGTTCAGATAGAACTCCAAGTGTCCCCGCGTCCGATCCAGACACACTCCAATCAGGCAGCCCTGCGAGAACTTCTGGCCGTAGGGCAGCTGCTCGCCGCAGTGCTGAATGCGTCCGGAGTAGGAGAAGCCCCAGGACTGGGCATTGGTGCCCAGGGCGGAGACAAAGTGGAACTTGAACTGCCCTAGATTAACGCTCTCCGTGCCGATGCCGAACATCTAGGGGGATGGAGAAGGGAACACATTGTTTACATTGAACTTTTCACTGGCTTATCATCTAGTTGGGCTGTCTGCTGCGACGTCTGTTATCTTATCGCCGCCTTGTAATCTGTAATCCGTAGTACAATGAAGCCAACAATCGAGTCGTAAGCAATGGAATCGAGCTCACCAGCTGTAGGCAGTGATCTATTTTAAGGCGGCGACTTTGACTGACTTTCATCTCTCTAGCGGAGCATCCCAACTAGTTGCCAAGCCGGGCTGATAACTCACCACATCGGTGCCGGCCAGGGTGGTGATGACGCGCATCTCCCAAAAGTGGACCATGCCAGGCTTTAAAGCCCTATTACCCCTCACAATCGCCGTGCCCTGGCTGTAGGTGGGATGGAAGATGATGTCCCGGTCGGTCACTATGGCATCCGATTCGTCAGCGGCATGCCACCGCCAGGGATTCACATTGCCGGGCTCGTCCTCGCCGCAACGGCACCTGACCAGGTCGGGTATGTGACCCTTGTGGCTGGTGACCTCGATGGAGTTAGGAAAGGGGCAGTCGCAGAAGCCGGGATTGCAGACTTCCTGGTGCGGCGGCAGCAACATGTTGACTTCTCACTGGAATCTCTGACTTTATCCCCACTAATGACTGGTGACAGCCGTGTGCAATGATCTCGAACAGTCGACGGACCACAAATGTTTCCAGTTAAACCAGCTGCAGCCTCATATATAAGCTCATGACCGATGTGATCTGAGCTGGCTGAAATGAACAATAAACAAAAACGATGCGTTGTAAATAGACGCCAGCGTCTCTGCCGGCGTCGCCATCAGTGTTTGGTCACACTGCATGATTCAGAACGGTATATATAGTAAAAATACTAGTTCTTTTTTAAAAAAAAATTACCGTTAGTTTTTTTTTTAATAAAAAATTTAAATATCTGTTCTAACGAAAAACCAACTATAAACTAACTACATAATGGGCTTAAAACACTACCAGCTACGGTTTTCAGCTTGTAAACCATTTGCTAAAATTTTTAAAGTGGTAATAAAAGTATTATAAATATATATTAAAATACCATTTAAAAGACATTTAAACCCTTTTTAAAATCAAAATTAAATTAAATTAAATATATCAAATAAAAATACCAAATAATGCTGATACGCCTTTGTGGGAATGCCTCTTCTGTGTGAATGTCACTCCTCGAATGCAACTCTGTGGTGGCCAACCACAAACAGCGGCTTTTCACTACGATTTTACGGAAAAATCTATAAAAATAGGTTAATTTAAGTACTAGGGATGTCGAAATATTTAAAAATATCGTATCGATGATATTTTTTATTTAAACAAAAAATCAAAATGATATTTGATATATCAGAAAAAAAATATCTATATATCAGATATTTTTGATATTTTTGTTTTATTATTTTTTTTTTTAATTTTAAGCTGCATAAGCGATAAACACTAAACATTAACCCACATACGATCTTAAATTATATTTTTATAATTTTTAGTTTTTATTTATTAATAAATGAAAGAAAACAATATTTATTTTTGCTTTCTTTTGCTTTTATTTATAATATTAAAATCAAGTATTTCCCGCGCATTTTTTTTATCTCGTTTTCTTGAGTTCTGAATGCTATGCTATGCATTTTCACTTGCCGAAAAATAAATTTTAGTGGCGCTCATCTTTCACATATGTATTTTTTCTTGTCCCGATGAAAAGTGAGACCACTTAAAATTATCAAAAAAAATTGAAAAAAAAAATCGATGATATATGATAATTATTCAAAAAAAATATCACGATAAAAATATTTATTTTTTCGTAAAAAATATCGATATATTGATATTTTGATATATTTTCGACATCCCTATTAAGTACGAAAAACCCGTGCAAACCACTCAACAGACATGGCGGATGCCGCAGCTCGTCAGCTACAGTACGAGTACAAGGCGGTAAGTGCGGAATCCCGAGAACACGGCCGGAAAAACTTTCCCCACTCCATGCGGCGTCTCCGCGGAATTTCACAAACATATGTATTAAATGTGTTTTTCCCATTTCAGAACTCCAATCTTGTGCTGCAAGCCGATGTGCGACTCATCGAGCGGCCGCGACGCGATGAGGCCACCGGCGAGGTGTGCTCCCTGGTGGGCAAGCTGGACGGAACGAGGATGGGCGATCGCTACCAGCGGACGAAGCCGGAGAAAACGGAGGAGCGCAAGGTGAAGCGCCAGAAGCGAGATGAGGCCCAGTACGATTTCGAGCGGATGAAGGGCGCCACTCTGCTCTCCGAGGGCATCGACGAGATGGTGGGCATTGTCTATCGGCCCAAGACACAGGAAACCCGCCAGACCTACGAGGTCCTGCTCAGTTTCATCCAGGAGGCTCTGGGCGATCAGCCCAGGGACATTCTGTGCGGTGCCGCCGACGAGATTCTGGCCGTGCTGAAGAACGATCGCCTGAAGGATCGGGAACGCAAGCGGGACGTGGACAGCCTGCTGGGCGCGGTGACGGATGAACGCTTTGCCCTGCTGGTCAATCTGGGCAAGAAGATCACAGACTTTGGCAGCGATGCCGTGAATGCGCTGACTGCTGCTCCCAACAACGAGGAGCAGATCGACGAGACCTACGGCATCAATGTGCAGTTCGAGGAATCCGAGGAGGAGAGCGACAACGACATGTACGGCGAGATTCGCGACGATGATGCCCAGGATGAAGGCGAAGAGGCGCGCATCGATCATACTTTGCATGCAGAGAACGTAAGTTGGGGTAATAACCTTCGAATACCCATTAATAAATCGCATTTCCTTACCCAGCTGGCCAACGAGGAAGCCGCCAATAATGTGAAAAAGGAGCGCTCCTTGCATCCCTTGGACATAGATGCCTACTGGTTGCAGCGCTGCCTCAGCAAGTTCTACAAGGATGCCATGGTGTCGCAAAGCAAGGCCGCCGATGTGCTCAAGATCCTCAAAGACGCCGCCGACGATCGCGACTGTGAGAATCAGTTGGTGCTGCTGCTGGGCTACGATTGCTTCGATTTCATCAAGCAGCTGAAGCTCAACCGCCAGATGGTCCTGTACTGCACCATGCTAGCCTCGGCTCAGACGGACAGCGAGCGACAGAGGATTCGCGAGAAGATGCGCGGCAATTCCACGCTGGCCAAGATCCTGCGGCAGTTGGACACCGGAAAGGCGGAGGAGCAGGACGAGGGCGAAGCGAGAGGCAGCAAGCGCGGCAAGGGCGATGCCGAGGATGGAGGAGCAGCGGCTGCGGGTCAGGTGGCCGGTGTGCGGCAGCTGCTCGAGCTGGACGAGATGGCCTTCACGCAGGGATCCCACTTTATGGCCAACAAGCGCTGTCAGCTGCCAGATGGTTCGTACAGAAAGCAGCGCAAGGGCTACGAGGAGGTGCACGTGCCTGCCCTGAAACCGGTGCCCTTTGATGCCAACGAGGAACTGCAGCCGGTGGACAAGCTGCCGAAATACGTGCAGCCGGTGTTCGAGGGCTTCAAGACACTCAATCGCATTCAAAGTCGCTTGTACAAGGCCGCCTTGGACAGCGATGAGAACATGCTGCTGTGTGCGCCCACTGGAGCGGGTAAAACCAATGTGGCGCTGCTCACAATGATGCGCGAGATTGGCAAGCACATCAACGAAGATGGCACCATCAATGCGCAGGACTTCAAGATCATTTACGTGGCTCCCATGAAGTCGCTGGTCCAGGAAATGGTGGGCAACTTCGGGCGACGCCTCGCCTGCTATAATCTCACGGTTTCCGAGTTGACTGGCGACCACCAGCTGACCAGGGAACAGATTGCGGCCACCCAGGTGATTGTTTGCACGCCGGAAAAGTGGGATATCATCACGCGGAAGGGAGGAGAACGTACGTTTGTGAGCCTAGTGCGATTGGTAATCATCGATGAGATCCACCTGCTGCACGACGAACGTGGTCCGGTGCTGGAGGCCCTGGTGGCGCGTACGATTAGGAACATTGAGACCACCCAGGAGGAGGTGCGACTGGTAGGCTTGTCTGCCACACTTCCCAACTACCAGGATGTGGCCACCTTTCTGCGCGTCAAGCCCGACAAAGGACTCTTCTACTTCGACAACAGCTATCGGCCGGTGTCCCTGGAGCAGCAGTACATCGGTGTGACGGAGAAGAAGGCTTTGAAGCGCTTCCAGGTGATGAACGAGATTGTTTACGAAAAGACCATGGAGCATGCTGGTCGGAATCAGGTGCTGGTTTTCGTGCACTCGCGCAAGGAGACGGGAAAAACGGCGAGGGCCGTGAGGGACATGTGCCTGGAGCAAGATACCCTGGGTAGTTTCCTACGCGAAGGATCGGCCAGCATGGAAGTGCTGCGCACTGAGGCGGAGCAGGTGAAAAACACGGAGCTCAAGGAGCTGCTGCCCTACGGATTCGCCATCCATCATGCGGGAATGACTCGCGTTGATCGTACTTTGGTTGAGGATCTTTTCGCCGATCGGCACATCCAGGTGCTCGTTTCCACCGCCACGCTGGCCTGGGGTGTGAATCTGCCCGCGCACACGGTAATCATCAAGGGCACCCAGGTGTACAACCCGGAAAAGGGTCGCTGGGTGGAGCTGAGTGCCTTGGATGTCCTGCAGATGTTGGGTCGAGCCGGAAGACCGCAGTATGACACCAAAGGTGAGGGTATTCTCATTACCAATCACAGTGAGCTGCAGTTCTATCTCTCGCTGCTCAACCAGCAGCTGCCCATCGAGTCGCAGTTCATCTCCAAGCTGCCCGACATGCTGAACGCCGAGATTGTGCTGGGAACAGTGCAGCATCTGCAGGATGCAGTCAACTGGCTGGGCTACACATATCTGTACATCAGGATGCTGAGAAACCCCACCTTGTATGGCGTGTCGCACGATGCCATCAAGGCGGATCCCCTGCTGGAGCAGCATCGCGCGGATCTGCTGCACACGGCAGCCTGCTGCTTGGAGCGGAGTGGCCTCGTGAAGTACGATCGCAAGACGGGACACTTTCAGGTGACGGATCTCGGACGCATTGCCTCGCACTACTACCTCACCCACGAAACCATGCTGACCTACAACCAGCTGCTCAAGCAAACTCTCAGCGAGATCGAGCTGTTTCGGGTGTTCTCTCTGTCCTCTGAATTCCGACACATTTCTGTCCGGGAAGAGGAAAAGTTGGAGCTGCAGAAACTAATGGAACGAGTGCCCATTCCCATTAAGGAGTCGATTGAGGAGCACAGTGCCAAGGTTAATGTTCTGCTGCAGGCCTACATCTCCCAACTGAAGCTGGAGGGCTTTGCCCTGATGTCGGACATGGTGTTTATCACCCAATCCGCAGCCCGTTTAATGCGGGCCATCTTCGAGATTGTGCTGACCCGCGGTTGGGCTCAATTGGCGGACAAAACGCTGACGCTTTGCAAGATGATCGATCGGAGGATGTGGCAATCGATGACGCCACTCAGGCAGTTCAAGAAGATGCCCGACGAGATAGCCAAGAAGCTGGAGAAGAAGCACTTCCCGTGGGGAAGGCTCTACGACCTGGAGCCCCATGAACTGGGCGAGCTGATCCGAGTGCCCAAGCTGGGAAAAACCATCCACAAGTTTGTGCACCAGTTCCCCAAACTGGAGCTCTCCACGCACATTCAACCCATAACGAGGGGAACGCTGAGAGTGGAGCTCACCATTACACCGGATTTCCAGTGGGACGAGAAGGTGCACGGACAGTCGGAAGGCTTTTGGGTGTTGATCGAAGACGTGGACTCGGAGCTCATTCTCCATCACGAGTTCTTCCTACTGAAGCAAAAGTATTCCCAGGACGAGCACCAGCTGAAGTTCTTTGTGCCCGTTTTTGAGCCCTTGCCGCCGCAATATTTCCTTCGAATCGTTTCGGATCGCTGGATAGGCGCAGAGACCCAATTGCCCGTCTCCTTCCGCCACTTGATTCTGCCCGAGAAGAATATGCCACCCACGGAGCTGCTGGATCTGCAGCCACTTCCGATTAGTGCACTGCGTCAGCCGAAATTTGAATCGTTCTACTCGCAACGCTTCCCGCAGTTCAATCCCATCCAGACGCAGGTCTTCAATGCGGTCTACAACAGCGACGAGAACGTCTTCGTTGGGGCGCCAACGGGATCCGGAAAGATGACCATTGCCGAGTTTGCCATAATGCGGTTGTTCACCACGCAGACGGATGCCCGATGTGTCTATTTGGTTTCGCAGGAAGCTCTAGCCGATCTTGTCTTTGCCGATTGGCACAGCAAGTTCGGTTCGTTGGACATTAAAGTGGTGAAATTGACTGGAGAAACGGGAACCGATTTGAAGCTGATAGCCAAGGGTCAGATGGTCATCACAACGGCGGATAAATGGGACGTCTTGTCGCGCCGATGGAAGCAGCGGAAGAACGTGCAGCTGGTGAACCTGTTCATTGTGGACGAACTGCAGCTGGTGGGCGGCGAGGATGGTCCTGTGCTGGAGATTGTGTGCTCCAGGATGCGGTACATTAGCTCGCAGATTGAGAAGCAGATCCGAATAGTGGCCCTGTCCGCATCGCTGACCGATGCCAGGGATGTGGCCCAGTGGCTGGGCTGCAATCCCAATGCCACGTTCAACTTCCATCCAAGTGTGCGACCCATTCCGCTGGAGCTGCATATTCAAGGCTTTAATGTAACGCACAACGCCACCAGAATTGCCACGATGTCGAAGCCCGTTTACAATGCCATCCTCAAGTACAGCGCTCATAAGCCGGTTATTGTCTTTGTGTCGTCCAGAAAGCAGGCCAGGCTGACCGCTATTGATGTACTGACCTACGCCGCCTCGGACTTGCAACCCAATCGGTTCTTCCATGCCGAAGAGGAGGATATCAAGCCGTTCCTGGAGAGAATGACGGATAAAACACTGAAGGAGACTCTCGGCCAAGGAGTGGCGTATCTCCATGAGGGCTTGTCCGCCTCCGATCATCGCCTGGTGGAGCAGCTCTTTGACTCCGGCGCCGTGCAAGTGGCCGTCGTCTCCCGGGATCTCTGCTGGGGCATGAGCATCTCCGCCCACCTGGTGATCATCATGGATACGCAGTTCTACAATGGCAAGAATCATTCGTATGAGGATTATCCCATTACCGAGGTGCTGCAGATGATTGGACGTGCCAATCGTCCGAATGAGGATGCGGATGCCAAGTGTGTGTTGATGTGCCAGAGCAGCAAGAAGGACTTCTTCAAGAAGTTCATCAACGAGCCGCTGCCCATCGAAAGTCACTTGGATCATCGAATGCACGATCACTTTAACGCCGAAGTAGTGACCAAGACGATCGAGAACAAGCAGGATGCCGTGGACTATCTCACCTGGACGTTCCTCTACAGGCGATTGACCCAAAATCCCAATTACTACAATCTGCAGGGAGTCACGCATCGCCATCTCTCCGATCATCTTTCGGAGCTGGTGGAGAACACGCTGAGCGATCTGGAGCAGTCAAAGTGTATCAGCGTGGAGGACGACATGGACACGCTTCCACTCAATCTGGGCATGATTGCGGCATACTACTACATTAACTACACAACAATCGGTAAGTAGGATATTTTGGGTATAAGTATAAGTCATTTCTTAATTTTTCTTTAACTTTTTCCCCCCAGAACTCTTCAGTTTGTCGCTCAACAGCAAGACGAAAGTGCGTGGCCTGCTGGAGATCATTTCATCGGCCGCCGAGTACGAGGATGTGGTGGTTCGGCATCATGAGGAGCAGGTTCTGCGCACTCTTTCCCAGCGATTGCCCAACAAGCTGACAGGACCCAATGAAACGGCTCCCAAGTAAGCCAAGCCATGCACTAAATATAACAAACCATAACTCGACTTATTTTAGGTTCAATGATCCGCACATCAAGACCAATTTGCTGCTCCAGGCTCATCTTTCGCGACTGCAGTTGGGCCCCGAACTGCAGGGCGACACCGAACAGATACTGAGCAAGGCCATCCGCCTCATTCAGGCCTGTGTGGATGTGCTAAGCTCGAATGGCTGGCTCTCGCCGGCTGTGGCTGCCATGGAGCTGGCCCAGATGGTCACGCAGGCCATGTGGAGCAAGGACTCGTATTTGAAGCAGCTGCCACACTTTAGTCCCGAGATTGTCAAGCGGTGCACAGAAAAGGTTAAAATCTATCTCAATCTCCATTTAATAACTTTTCTAATGGTGTTTTTCTTATGTTCTTAGAAAATCGAGACAGTTTTTGACATCATGGAACTGGAAGATGAGGACCGTACGCGCCTGCTGCAGCTCTCTGACTTACAAATGGCCGATGTGGCTCGTTTCTGCAACCGCTATCCCAACATTGAGCTGAACTACGAGGTGGTGGACAAAGATCGCATTAACTCTGGTTCAACCGTTAATGTTGTGGTTCAACTTGAGCGAGAGGACGAGGTCACCGGCCCAGTCATTGCACCCTTCTTCCCGCAGAAACGCGAAGAGGGATGGTGGGTTGTCATCGGTGATCCCAAGACCAATTCCCTGCTTTCCATCAAACGGCTGACGCTGCAGCAGAAGGCCAAGGTCAAGCTGGACTTTGTGGCCCCCAGTCCGGGCAAACACGACTACACGCTGTACTACATGAGCGATTCCTACTTGGGTTGCGATCAGGAGTACAAGTTTTCCATTGAAGTGGGCGATTTCCAGTCGGAAAGCGAGAGCGAGTCAGATTAGTTATTTTAAGGTTGGGCGTAGTCGCGCAAATAAAGATCAACCATTTTACAATTTAATTCCAAAAATTGTGGCAATAATTTTAAATTGATTCTTAGACTTTCGGCGAGGAAAACAAATTGTACAAACAGCACTGGAAAATTTCTATTATTATTTTTACAACGCCTCGAAAAAGGAATTATAAAAAAATATATTGACAAATTACCAAAAACTCAATATTAATAATTACTATCGACCGATTTGTTTTTTTTTTACTAAAAAAGAATCATTTTGCTGTCTCAACAAACTTTCGATTGAATCATAAATATTTATTAGCATATTTTAGACATTTGCACATAGGATTGCTGACCAATATATTAACTTCGAGGTATTTTCCGTGTATGAAGCAACTTCCTCTTAACGGCTCACGGAAACTGCTGAACCGTGGCTACTGCCGTGGTTGGCTCCTCCATTGGCGAAATTGTTTGCGGAGCTGAAGTTGATGGTCTGTCCATTTGGAAGATGGTACACCTGACTCAGCGACGCTCCAGCTGCATTGTTAAAACCAAAGGGACTGGAGTTCTGGGACTGAGTAGCCGTGCTGGCCGAGGAGGCACCGAAAGATCCATTGGCGCTCTGCGACTGGAAGCCTTGAGCCTGTCCACTAGCCGCCGAGGAACCGGAGTTAAGTCCATTGTTGTAGTTGCTGTTGGCAGCTCCGTTGGATGCGGCCTGCTCCTGGTTATAGCCATTGGGTCCGAGGGGTCCCAGCGGATTCAACTGAACATTGGCATTGGCATTGCCGCCATTTGGTCCGGCTCCGACATCAACGCCCGCTTTGGTTCCTCCAGATCCCGCCGATGTTCCAGCCTGGACATTTGATCCCTGTCCCTGATTTCCGCCGAATCCTTGATTGCCATTGAATCCCTGATTGCCGCCGAAACCTTGATTGCCACCGAATCCTTGATTACCGCCGAATCCTTGATTACCTCCGAAGCCACCTCCAAAACCGGGATTTCCACCGAATCCACCGCCGAATCCAGGGTTTCCAGCATACTGATTTCCAAACTGACGCTTCACACGCTTGTGGGTGATTCCGGAACTGAGATCCAGAATCGAACGGACGCGACGCACCTGTGGATTAGACTTCGGCTTGATGTACAAGGCGGATTCCACCACAACTTCCTCGATTAGAGCGCCCTTAGATGCTGTAAAATGATAAAGATTCAATATTTAAATACCTATTTTATTATTTTAACTAGTTTTTCCCCAATCAAAATTAATAATAACTGCAAAAAAAAAAATTTCAAAAAAAATTTCCTTGTATTTTTAAAAAAAATTTTTTTTATGATTTTTTTAAAGAATCGATCTCAGTAAAATTTTATATGAAAAGGTGGAAAAAGCGGCTAAAATTGTCATTTTTAGCTATTTTCAAAAAATTATAAATCTACAAGGAAAAATATTTTGCAATTTTTTTTTTTGCAGTTATTATTAATTTTGATTGGGGAAAAACTTTGCATAAAAACATTTTTGTTTTAAGCCCCAGGAAAAAAGTTGAAAATTTGACCCTCACAATAAATTTTATAATTTTCTAACTTTTCAAAGGGTGCTTAATGGGTTAAGAACATTGTTGTGTCATTTTAACGGCTTGAAGTGCTTTTTCTGTAGGTGCCAAAATGTTTCTATTATGAGTTCAAAATATGAGAAGATTTAACTTTAAAATTTGTTAAAATAATTATGCCGACTAGTGTACATAATCTTCATCTAATATTTCGCTTAAAAATTTAATAATTCATATTTATTTAAAAAAAATAATTTGCCATTCTTTTATAGGATACATATAATTTTACTTATATTTTTGCATTTCGATTTCTTCCACAAAGTATTCATAATTTTGATTTAAAGTGAAGAACAATAGGTTTTTATTTAACCCGATAAAATTAATTATTTAAACGCAATTACAGACAGCCACTTACGCAAATCATCCTCCCCGGTCTGGACCTGCTTCTCGTTTCGCTGTCTCAGTTGGGGGAACCCCGAAACCGCCCCCAAAAAGATGAGGGCTACAATTAGCACCACCGGAACTGACAGATTCATTTCGGATTCTTCGATTAATTCTCTTTTGGGAATCGCAGCTGGACACGTCCGCTAGCTAGGCCGCTTCACGATCAACTGTTGGATGTATCTCAGCCTTTTCGATCGATCGGCCGACCAACTCTCACTTTTCAATCGCCACGGGGGGCCTCCCCTTTGTCCGATGGCGCTAATTGCTTCTATCAATATTCAAGATGTTTCGGCAAATTGGAAAAAAAATTAAGACAAAAACTGGCTTGTATAATCAAACGATTTTTGGCACATGTAACAGATGCAAACATTTAATAATTTTGTATTATGTAGGAAAAAAACAAAACGGGTGTACAAAAGCCGAAACCGGTTAGCATCTAAAGCTCGTGGAGGAACTAGTTTGGTTTTCTTTTGTTTATTTTTTATCTTGGCGGTGCCTGGTTTTTGTTGCTTTTCGATTTCCTTTTCGGGAAACAGATGTTGCCCAGAACTTTTACGGTTCCCAAGAGCGGAGGCGGAGAATCTTTGTTGGTGTCTGTGAGCGGAGGGCATCCCAGTGAACTTCTGTCTGGGATTTCTAAATGCAGCCGATTGTCTGCCCCTTCAGATGATAAGAGGCTGGACCAATTAGTTTTATTTGAATAACATTATTATTAATTTTTCTAGTTTAAAAGTTTCAGAAATGTTATAAATTATAAATAAATTATAACTTATAATATTTAAGGTTTGTAATTAGAAGGACCAAATTTGTTCCCATATAGAACGAAAACAAATAATTGTATGATATACGTAAGTTAAATACCTTTTTTTATTACTTGTTCCACATTTATTCTAAAAGTATTGACAAATATTTCAGAATTTGGAGAATTGAAACACGAATTAAGACACTCACTTCCATCAAAATGAGACTCAAGTGAACGATAACAAAGGGGCATTTGTTGAGATCGCTTAATCAAACATCTAATATTGGGTATGCGACTTTTAATGGAATATGCGAAATACGAACTAAATGGAAAATAAAACAATGATGCGAAATAAATGTATAAATTTTTGTACAACTTGAAAGTCGTCATGAGGCGCTTGAATGGTTCGTTTTGCGAGCATTTCCTTATGCTATTGCTTTAAATTCTTAGACTTAAGTTAAGGAATCAACAAAACTGAGCACTGTTCGAGATAGTTAGCAGTTAACCTAGGATAAGTTGTTAAGCAGCGTCTGGGTGCTTACTCGATGCCATGGGCGAAGATCATGACCAGGCCAGGATCGATCATGACGTCCTCAGTCATGTGAAGGTTATCGCAGCTCAGAACGAGCACAGCTTGCTTGCCTGCGGAATGGTCAATATATTTATTAAGCCATCTACTTTCAGGATTTATCCTAGTTACCTGGAATGCGTCGACACACGTAGTTGTCGTAGATTCTACGGTTGGTCTGTCGCGTCTCCAGCGAACTGAGGCCGCGTGGCCAACGTCGCTCGTGGCAGAACTCCATAAGACTATCCAGGATGTGTGGCGGACAACCCGACTCGGACAGAGCGCGCTTGATCATGAGCTGCAGGGCGTCGTCGGGCGTAGAGATCATTCCCCCCCAGCGCGTGACCCTGGCCCGCGGCAGTGTGCTGCTCCAGCGGATCACCTCGTCGCGCTCCATCTGGTCGGCTATGGCCCGCATCGCAGGATTGGAGACGCGCATGGCACGCATAAAGTCCTTGAATAGCTGCAATTCCCGCTTCAGTTCGTTGATGGTTAGCTGCTGGTCGGTTAGCTCCGATTTCAGCTCGCCCATCTTCTCCGTCTGCTTGACGATCAAAGTGCGCAGCTCCCGGACGCAGTTGTGATCCTTCAGCTCGTCCTTGGGTATGTCGAAGCCGCAGCCCTTCTCGCAGGGAAACGGGCGCTTCGGATTGTGGATGCACTCCTCCAGATGGGAGTTGTAGGCATCCAGCTTTAGGACAGCCGTGCAGCCGTAGGGCGCATTGTCACAGGTAATTGACAGTCTGGGTGGTGGGAGTAAAAGATAAGTTATCGCTGGGGAGCAGGAGGAGCAGGAGGAGGAGGCGTTGGGTGGCATTCTCACCTGGACAGTAGGTTGCGCAATATGCGAGGCACTGCGCGCAGATTGGCGGTCGTGAGGGCGTTGCGATCCACTGGACATGTGGGCTGGCGGGTTAGCCACTCATTAATACATCCGCGACAGAAGGCGTGCTCACACATCACGGCCTAAATCGGTAAATATATCCAATATATATATGTGTAATGGGGTACATATGTGTACTTTGCACGGGACTGCAAACAAAACAAACCTGCAGCGGATCCTCCAGCACTCCCGAGCAGATGGGACAGGTGAGCTCCTCGTCCACCTCCCCCTGAAAGCGATTCACGTCGTAGCCCATCTTAGGTCCTCAGTTCGCTGGCCATCCGCATAAATAAACAATTTATTTATAAGTCTTTTCTGCGGATTGCAAAATCGCTGCGCTTGTTTCGGTTGTGTTGTGTTTCACAACACTGAGTAGTGTTGGGCAGCAGTGGTGGCACGTCAGCTATATTCCGTCAGATCTGGCTTTTTTTAACGAATCATATTCAAAATATTTGAATATTTGAGCAGAAGTAAAAAGATTTAGTTATTTCTAGGTTTTATACCGGTGTCTTATGTTTCCGAATTTTTGGCTAACAAAAAGTTTTAAAGTTAATAGTTTTTAAAAGTTAAAAAATGTATCATATGTGCTTGTTCTTAAACAATTGAGTATATTTTAATAGCTTTACAAAGCATGTATTACATTTTCCTTAAAAATCACCTTATAGTATATCCTGCCTTAAGGACCACGTCAGCATAAGCCTCTTTCTGCAGTGACTAAGTAGCAATTTAAAAATCAAAACATCATTATAATAGGTAAAAATATCAATTTATTTAACAGTCTGGACGTGCCACTATTTGGTATATAATTATGAAATTCGTCGAATCGGGAGACCAATGGACAACCATTCATAATCTAACACAAAACAGGTTAACGAAAACATTTAACGCGCACTTATTCAAATACCCCTCGTGTCCCACACCCTCATAAGCAGTGATCCTGTACTATATCTCGTTCCGATCCTTCCATCCATACTTTTGGCGCTGTTGTCTCTCCCTGCTGTTGCTCTGTTTGTTGCCATTGTAGGAGGAGCTCTTGGCAGGAGCACAATAGCAGGACCTTTGCTGGGAGTCCAAATAGGACCTGCATCCCAGGGTCAAAGTGCCGGTAAACAGCATCTTTGCCGCCGCTTTGCACCCTTTTACCATAAGATCGCTGGCTATGGACTTTTCATAGCTATCACAGTGTTTGTAGAGGCATCTCTTAAAATCAAGGTCACACAACTCCTTATCGCTGTTGCAGGTGTCATAGCAGATGTCGTGGTCGTTGCAACAGGTCTCCATCTCCTTGGCCGGCAGATAGTCCGTACTGATACGCAGACCCAGGGATCCACAGCCATCGGCGGTTGGGGTATAGAACTTATTCTGAACCGCCCGAGGGGCTGTAAGGGAAACACAACATATGAATGCCGGGCAATTTACATAATTCGATTTGCGTCACACACCTGGTCCTCCAATATCCGGAGCGGGGCATTGGTAAACGCAATTCTCGTCCACAGCCGCATCGAAAACCTCATGAACCGTGCGAAATTTGCGCACCAGAACTATCATGTTCTTGAACACGTCACCAAATATTGCCTCGGCCGCTATAATGGCATCCCTTAGCTATAATGGTATCCGGGGAGAAGAGAAGATGCAGGAATTTAGATACCATCTTTTACAGATGCCTAGGAGGTGTCTTACATGAACTATCGTGCTGGATCCGTATCCGGAATATGCGTATGTGAGGAAAGTGAGAAGGTATATGGCCACCTTCATCCAGGAGAACTGCATGTTTGCTATCTGTTGCTTACTTTCCGTTTAAAAAAGGTGAGATATTTGTTGTGTGCGCGTAATAATAAACTATCCCTATCCCCTATCCTAAAGATACTAGGGGTGGAGATACACCGATGTTGGCATCAATACATCGATAACATAATTTAACTTATATATACAATATTAATAAACAATTGTTTTGTAAATATAACAAAAAAGTGTATGATTTAAATAATTTGTGAAAATATTTATTTTTAAATGAATTAATTTTGAAATATTTGATTTTCAAACAGTGGCGCCATCTGGTACCTTGGAAGTCTGGCAACGTCATATACAAAGTAATCGTATTATCGGGAGGGAAAATTCAAAAATTTGTAGTGAGAAAAATATTTTATATTTTATATTCCAATGGAAGTCGGGCATATTTTGGATCGCATTTTAATAGTTCACAGAAATGGTATCTGCGCTTTTACCAAATTTGGCTTTGGATTCTATTCCTGCTGTAAGCAAAGTGAGTTCCAGGCCGGAAAATATGTGTTAATGGTGCAAATAAATTAAAATAATTATGACTGACAGACTGGCGCGACCATGACAAGGCTTCCGGTCTGCCGACAGGACTTGCCACGCCCACTCAAGGAGGAGGTGAGTGCACAATGTCCTTGCCCTTGACAACACAGGACTGCAGCAGCTGCAGTGGAAAAAAGCTGCAAACAGAAATGAAACCCAAAGCTGGCTGACATCTCGTGCCTGCCTCCGCTTAATTATAACATCAAATTGAAATGCACACGGCAATTGTGTGTGCGCCACCTGAAATGTGACTCTGGCACGCAGGCGTCACCCGTACGTTCGTACATTCGTTTGCACCTGACCTTGTTGGCCTTTATTACAACTGCCTACAAAATCAACATACATAAGCATGCAAACGCAACACCCGAAAAACCGTTAAAGAGGCGCTCTCGCTGTTTGCTTACACTGGCCAGAGGGCTCGTAAATACACAAAACATATTTCCCAGATTCTGCAGCTTTCCCGCTGCCGCAATGTCTACTGAAAACAAACAAAACACTGGGGGAAAAACAGCCCCTCAAATGGTTGCTTTTAGTTATGCCCTCGTTGAATCACATTAAGTATGTGTTTTAAAGTTATATAAAAAAGCCGTTCTTATAAATAAATGTTTATTAGAAATTTTGCTTTGTTTCTAGTTATTGCAGAAATATCAGAATGTCTAAAAACAAACCCCTGTAGGTAATAAACATAACCTGCTGGACTTAAGATGATTATAAATTATATATGGGCACTTCCAAAAAAAAGTCCACCAAGCCAAAAACCTTGAAACTTGAATAAAACATATTTTCACATGATTTTGCCCCGATATTAGTTTCTAATTAGTTGGATACTGAGCTTAACTACAAATTTGGAGTATAGTTTGATTATTTTTATGACAAACTCCACCGATATACGCAAAAATCAGTTTTTGGCTATTTTTTTGTTATTTTTTGGACCTGTCTTCTGTTGTTAATTTATCCTATAGGAATGCTAATATGTAACATTTTTCTGTACTAAATGCTTCATTCACATGCTAAACTAAGTTAAAAGCAAAACATCCAGCAATTGAGAGATAGAGGTAAAGAAATCCGCTTTACAAAACAGTCGGAAAAAATGTCCCGAGCGACATGTCCCGAGGGAATGTGGTTGAAACTGTATAAAAAAAAACGGCAAAGAATTTTTGAGTAAAACTAAAAGCATTTCACAGCGACATGTTTGAACAACATTTTAAAAAAATCGCATTAAAATATTCCATCAGAATTCGTTAATTTCTGGTGTTGTATGAACTTCCCCGAAATCCACTTCTATTTTTGTCCCGAGCGAATACGGCAGTTTTTTACCGATATCTTAAAAACTAAAAGTGGTACAAAATCAAGATTTTTACCAAAAATAGAGCTTGGGAAGAGTGAAAAGAAAAGCCCATAATTAAAATTAAAATCCATTGTTTTACAATTTTTTTTTCAACTTTAAAGGTGTGCAAATGTCCCGAGCGACATTTTGGAAGTACCCATATATTGATCATCTTTCTAAATGAAATTTTATATGCATATTTATAAGTAGCGAATCAATATTTTAAAATTCCCTGCTTGCCAGATGTCTACTGAAAATCCCAACACTGAGGGAAAACCCTACATGTTTATTAAAGGTTCTGCTTTCGTGACTGCTAAAATCACCTTACTTAAATTCAGGTACAAACTTTTTGTTGCAAGATATTTTTTCGACCGAATTCCGAATAACCAGGTATAATCGGGGTGTCTAGGTTTATGCACTCAGAAAAAAATCTCGGCCGATTTTCTAAAATTAAGGGCGATTTTTTTCTGAGTGTGGTGTACTCCAGAATGCAATATCTGGAAAATCTATAAAAAATATTAAATATGCATAGCATTTTATAAAGAGAGTTTATTTTATTTTATTATATTTAACCAAAGACTATACAAACCCCTATATTATTTTTGGCTTTAGATTGTTTTAACATTTTCTTGTAAACTACCATAAAATTACCCCTTTTTTGTCCATGTGTATTTCAGATAAAATATTATATAGGGTTTGTTTCTGTAAAGACTTTCAGTTCCGTGGTGCTGTTGTCAATTAGCCAGGCACACTATTTTGGCCGCCCTATCGCCGACGCTGATTACCGACCGCCCGCGCTATCCTGTGGCGATGATCCTGCTGCCGCCAAACCGTTTAGGCCCTCAAATGGAACAACACTCGAGACACTTGGCCAAAACCAAACAGCCGAACGCACACATGGAGAGCAAACACAAACACAAACACATCCGACAATGACTATCCGAGCATCCCAAAGCCATCTCCCCTTGGCCATTATCATCATCGTCGTCATCATCATTGGCCGCTGCCCCGCCCCCTCCGTCTGTGCCGCCCCCTTTTCCGAACCACCACGACTGCGGCGTCGACGTCGAGAGCTGTGGCAAGCGATTCGCAGATTTTACGTTTCAGTTTCGTGCAAAACGTGGAAGCGGCTGGTCAACCCAAGAAAAACACAACAGAACACAAAATCAGCTAAAGAAAATTGGAAAACTCGGCATTGGTCTAGAGGTTCATCGGACAAAAAACAGAAAAATATTCAAATTGCTCGAACGTTAGATTTGATTAATTACGCTTAGTTGCAGTAGTCTGCATTGTGCTGGCTAAACGGAGACTAACGAAAAACAAAGAAAAACAGCAAGTTGCGCTGCAAAAAACCGGAAATTCTAGATCTCTCGGATCTCACGATCCCAGCATATAAACAAAACAAACAAAACAAAGCGGCACTTTTCTGCAAACAAAAAATCAAGCGAAATAAACGTAAGAAAAACCCACGAAAAAAGTGACACAAATAAAGCAAAGCGCGATCGGTGTGTCCAGTCGATCTGGTACCCATAATACCTATTCCCCCATTTAATACCTATATACCTATAGCCCCTGAGAAACGCTGAGTGTTGAGTTTATTTCTGTTTCTGTGTCGGCTTCAGCGGTTTTTCGCTTTTTTGTTATTATTGCTGGCCAAAAACGAAGGAAAAATCGACGGCTAGTCGTGGAAAATCGTGCGCTCTTAAAGTAACATATTTATTTTTAAAAATTTCGCAAGCGTTCAAATTCTGCTCCAGCAAAAAATCAGAACTCAGAAACCAGACAATCGCAACCAGAACAACAACAATAAATAGATCGGCGCGATCGTTAGAAAAACCAAAACAGCGGCAACAACGGCCGGCTCTTAAAATTTAGTTTGGTGAGTAATCGTTAGTAGTGTAAAAAAAGCAGCAGCCAGCCACCAGCAAGCAGCAACAAATCATAAATGCTTGCTTTCCAAAATAGAAACAAAAAGTGGAGATAAATTCGTTTTGATGATTAAGCTCTGAGTACGATAATTAGGCGAGCCGATTTAATTAGTGCAATTAGCTAATTGCACTTCACATAGAGAGGTAAATCTTAATATTTGGAGTGGAAAAGATATAAAAAAAAGTGTCGGTAGTTAATGTGTTCATTTTTCGCTTTGTCTCAGAGATATTTCCGAGATCTTGGTAATGGAGTGATTAACTTCATGGGGTTCGTAGTGTTGTGAATTAATTATTCATATATGAAATTATGATCTTTTCGACCCATTTCTTAAAGTCCATAATTCTTAAAATGTAAAAAAAATGTATTTGTTAATAAATATTGTTTATGTTTGTGCAAATTATTTGCCTCTCTTTTAATTAATCAATTCAAATTAATTCAAATAATTAAATAAATGCATGTATTTTACTTTTACCTTGTATAATTCTAAAATGCTTATAAATCTTTAGATTTCTGTACAACAAATTGTATATATTTCAAATATTCCAAATATTTCTGGTTTATATATTTAAAAAAACACAAATAAATTAGTTTTGTTCCTTTTCTCGCGCTTTCGGAATCTAGAAATTATTTCCATTCAATTGACCCCATTTAAATAGCCTTTCTTCATGTTTCGCTTCAATAACTCTCAGCAAACTCAGCCAAGGACTTTCAAAATCTATTCCCCAACTTCCTCATTCGCATAAAAGTTTCATATATTTTCATAGCCAAATATAGTGAGTGGGGAACTAGCACAAGGACAACGGAAATACTTGCTCTATAAAAACAAATCCAAGACCATAAATCTGTTTCGCCCTTAAGCGAGTTCGAGAAACCCTCCCAGAAAAAATCCCCGTATTAAAACCACCAAAGAAACCAAGCGTGTTGTTGGCTTTTATACGTATTTATGTTATGATTACATTTAGCCGGCATTATTTTTGACGATTATTACCATTTGGGGTTTATTGCCCAAAAGCAGAGGGAGTGGGGCGAAAATCTTTATTTTGTCAACCGAAAATGGCCAATGAATTTTCGTTTTTGTAACACCCCCATCATTAATTCAAACGTATGCACTTATTCACATAATTACATATCCTGACGGCTGAGAAATATTAATAATGCCAACGCCTACAGCAAATTCTCTTTCGCTGTTTGGAAATTTCGAAAATACACCGATGACGATGATATTAATATGAGACGCTTTCTTTCTTTTTATAAACGCGTGCATATATTTTTAAACAAATCGCCTCACGTTGCTTTTAATTAATTAATAACATAATTTATTCCTCGGGTAGCCCAACGAATTAATAAATGTTGCAAACATTGCACGTAAATTTAATTTCCCGAATCAGAGGTCAAGTGGCCTGCAGTCACAAAATGAAGCAATCTCTCCTTTGGTCCGTCTATTGAAACATATTTGCTAATATTCTAAATAAATCAAAGTGTCTTTATGCGAGGTGAGCTAAGACCCATGGGATGAGTTTCATAATTTTCCCAGGAAATCTTCTCGAACAAGAAAATGCTTCGAAATAATTTATATGACTTGTAGACATAAATTAGGCCTGAGTAAAATATTAAAAATATTATTAAAAGGGATGTTTGAATGAGTTGAAAAGAAACTTAAGACATGTTATATTTTAACATTTTTAAATTATTATAGTGCCTAAATAAAAATTTAACTTTTTCCATTTTTTATCTTGCATTAGTAAAATTATTAAAGATTTTTCACGAATCTTACAAAAAGACAGATAACAAAGTTTCTTATGAAATTTGGTATACAATTAAACAAATATTTTTGTAGGTAAATGTTTTAAAACGTTTGTTGACCCTTACAAAAACAATAATTTTTAAATCCCTTTAATGGTTCTAAAGAATTTGATTTCCACGATCTTTCGCAAGCTTGCACTTCATTCACCTGATCTTTCCACCTTATCTCGCAGGCACTAATTCTTGTGCTTAACTTTTGTATAAAGTATATAGTATACACTTTTTATTGCGTTTTCCATTCACGAAAAGTGGAAGCGGCAACAAGAGCAGAAAAAGAGTGCTAGCCACCGGAAGATTAGGCAACAATTTAACATTTGGCTGGCTGGCTGGCAACGACGACCCCAATTTCCATTTCCATTTTCAAATTTGGCAGCCGCCAAGGTGAATGGGGCCGCTCTTCAGAGTGAGTGTGAGTGGATATACATATATCTGTAGGACCCGCCGATCGCGATCGGTTGTTTGTGTTCCTTGGTTCTTGCTGCTTGGCTAATTTACAGCCCGACTGATTGTCTACAATAATTTTTGAGAAATTATTCTCAAAACAATCCATGCACTTTGCCTTAGACAACTTTAATTTATATTTCCGCACTTTTAATGCGTTGGCGTTTCATTTTCATATTTTCCCACCGCAAAAAGTGCAAAAATTTTGAACGCGTACGTAAATAATCTTGAGTGACAGCCGTTCATAAAATTAATGTGTGTGTAATAATAATAAAAAAAAACCAAACAAAACAAAAGCTAAAGAAAATATTCCAAGAAAACGTTGGATGGTATTTTTCGTAAATATCAAAACGTTCTACTACGACAAGGTTTACTACAATAAAACAATATAGATATGCATATACGTAGGTGCATATATATAATTTTCTTGAAGCGTAGTTAAACAAATTTACGTAAATCCATGTTATCAGGGGTTCCTCTTCCATTAGAGCGTGAGGCGTGTCAATTGCATTAAAGGGTAGACATTTGTTACGTGGGTAAGATATTTCTGTTCAGTCGTAAGACAACTGGCAATCGACAGCGAAATTAATCGAGATGATACCAAGTTATAAATTGAAGGGCTAGAAAATGCATTAATAAAACCAATCGCTGGTATTCGTGGAAAATCCAAACTGGTTTCCCTACTAATATTATTTTGTAGTTATTAATAATTGGATGTAGATTTCTAATAAAGTACTTGCTCATTTACTTGAGTTTCTAATAATAGCTTTTGATTTTCTGTAAATCCTACTAATGGTAGGATTTCTATGTAATCGCAATAAACTAGCATTTACCGAAAATAAATAACTTAATTTTTGCAAGCAAAAAAGTATATATCTTTGATATTCAAGAACATTTTGAATACCATCGTGGTTCTTCACCCACTAGCTATTCTTCCTTTGCTAAGTATTTGTTTTTGTGCCTTACATTTTTTCATTTTAAAAATATGCCCTTTCACCGAAATTTTCAATAAACCCTTCCGATGTTCCCCAGTCAATTGCCATGCCTGACTAATCTATTGTCATCTTCTTGGCCTTCGAGCAGCAAAAAGCTGTAGTTAATGATGCGCATCAATCCCCGCCCTCCAGTCCACATTTTGGCTGGCTTTCTGTGCAATCGTCGAATCAATTGAATGCTCTTCTATGGACCGACTGGCCTAGATTGCTCCAGCACCCGCTTAAACAATAAAAGCCACTCAGGCCAGCCAAGAATATACGGACAGAAGCGCCATATAGACGGATATTGATTTTATAGTCGCATGCATCCATCTCGATTTTGCATTTCGGGTGGACCGACCTCAATACCTCTTTATCGCCATTGTTATTTCTTGAGTTAAATGCATCTGTGCATTAAGGCGGACCTCGGGAAATTGCCTTTGTGTCTGGGGACTCTGGGCTTTCCTTTTGTTGGCAAGCAGGCAGGCATCAAATTGAATCAAGACTGCAGTCATTGTTATTAATAATATTAGTATGCGATATTAGCTGGACTGCAGCCTCCTTTGTGTCGGCGGTGAAAACCCTTTGGCATACGAACTCAATTTTCCTAGGCTTTCACTTTACAATGCCTTTTGTCCGGACGCCTGTCTGTCTGCGTGTGTTGATAAGACCCGGGACAGACACTTGTTGCTGGATGCATTGGAGCACATACATATAGTACATCTGACCGGCGGCCATTTCATTTCACTTTCAATTTACGAACACTACAATGGCACGACCGGGCCTAAATACAAAGCCATCAGCACTATCCTCGGCTGGTTAATTAAACGACCATGGTCTGGCAATGGGAGCGGATTGGACTGGATTGTGGGATTCGGCGTATAAATACACCCCAAGGCAATTTGAAAGAACAATGGAGGCGGCATTTAACTGAGAGCACTGGGCCTTTAATGGATATGTGAACTGAGCTTAAAGAACGGGAAGTAATCGGAAAGAATGCAATTTTATAGTAGCCATTATAATTACAATAGTGGCTTCCTTAAATGTTTTGGGGTCAGAAAAGAGACAAAGATTTATGTAGTTACCTTTTAGAAATTATTTAAATAATAATTATAAAATGTTTACCTTCGAAATACCCTCAATTCATATATTTAACATAAAATAGAAACAAAATAGTTATTTTCATTGAAAAATAATTGTTCTGATTACGAAAAATCAATAATTTTGGGAATAGTAGCAATCTATCTATATTAGCTCACAAAATATTGAAAAAAATTAGGTGAACTTATTTATTATTATTATTTATAGTTAACTTAATTTTTGACAACTTAATACATGGGGTCTACATTTTTTTTTTTAAATCTTATACAAAAGGGGAAATGTTACGGGTTTGTAATTACAGCAAGAGCAACCCTTTTTATTAGTCCCCGAGCTGTTTTCAATCAATCACGCTGGCTATTTGCTTTGTAATCCAAATATAACCAGACAATTCATTTCCATTCCATTCGATTGCAGGGAAATCGACAGGAGGAAAAGGGGCGACAGGAACTCCGGCGAGGACTTTCGGGGAAGCGCAGGCGAGGATTGCGAGAGAGATGTCCACGGCGACTTGTGCCCGCTTCTGCACGCCTTTGACATCCGGCCCGGCAGGATCCACATCAAAATTGACAACCGGAAACGGAAGCGGCAGCACCATGACGTCATCGTACAAGAAGAAAATTCCATCAAACAGCAGCAGCACAACAACAGCAAATGACAGCAGCAGCAACAACACAGAGACAACATTCACATTCAAATTGGGCCGCCCGAACGGCAGGAGCAGCAGCAACGTGGCCTCCAGTGAGTCATCCGATCCGCTGGAGTCCGATTACAGCGAGGAGGATCCGGAGCAGGAGCAGCATGGGCCGGATCCGGCGACCAATAGCCGGAGCAGCAGCACCACCACCACCACCAGTTCCGCTGACCATGACAATGAGGTCGACGAGGAGGATGAGGAGGACGACGAGGACGAGGAGGTGGGCAACGGGCGGGACGCGGACGATGCCACCCACGATTCCAGCGAGAGCATCGAGGAGGACGATGGCAATGAGACCGATGACGAGGAGGACGACGACGAGTCCGAGGAGAGCAGCAGTGTCCAGACCGCGAAGGGAGTGCGCAAATACCACTTGGACGACTACCAGATAATCAAAACAGTGGGTAAGTCGGATGCTGTTTACACTGGCCCCACGGGGCGTATGATTGATGTTAAGGTCCCACGCCTTTCAACCTTCAACTTGTCGCGCTGGTGTAGATAATCCACTATTTGGATTCGATCGATTTTCGATTGTTTGTTAGTTTTTCCGGAAAACTGTTTAGACTGATGCCATCATAAGTGTTTCGCCTTTAGGTCAGTTCAGAAGTCAAGGCTTGATGAGGTCATTTCGTGAATTTATGGAGGTTATCTTTACCCTAAATGATCAATATTTAATATAAGTATTATTCGTTAATGATTGGTCTTCAGAATATAAAAGAAAAATACGTACCTCAATAAATTAAATACAATTGCATTTGGAATTTATCATTAAAATGCCATATAAATCCTTGGAGTGAAAAGAACCGGAACTTGAATTCATAAATTATACAATTATCCACTTAGTTTCCTTTTTACTTATTAAAGCAATGAGTGTGATAGAAAAAAACAGAAAAACCTAAGAATTTCTGATAAAATTCATGGGAAACACTTTAATTTTAGTAAAAAAAAAGAAAGAAATAAGATCAAACTGGCACACCCCCGCACACATTTTCAATCTTTTTTTACTTTGATTATTCAATTTAATTAAAAGAGTTTTCTCACCTGTTCAATCAATTCGTTTTCATCTCCAGTTGTTTCATCTGGAAAATGAAAAAATGTATTCAAATACCATAGACTCACTTTTTCTCTGCTTTTTGTTTGCTATTCTTTGATTTCGTTCAACGATTTAATTTCAAATATTTATTACCTCATTTTTTAAGCACCTCGGTATGTGTGAGCTCCTTACAGCTCAGCGTTGGCTACAGTTTTCTATTGCTCTTTATTGGCTTTATGCATAAATAAATTCTTATTGATTACGCAAATTGAATGGGGCAGGGAAGAATGACTAGATGCTCGTATTATGATTATTATGAGCTTTTCGCACCACAGCGGGCCGGGCAATTGTTTTCATTGCTCCACAGCGATCTGGATTGCGTAAAATTTCATTTAGACAATACTTAAGGTGTAGTCCGCTTACGTACGAGTATTTATTCTTGGACTCTGCTTAGGATCATCAATGGGTCTTACGTACTCTCATAGACGCTCGACCAATTAATGCCCATAATATTTTGATTTGTTTTCCCATTTTGACGTCTTCGGTGTGAGCAAAGCAGCCGATTTTAGTAGCGAACTAAATTTAGTATACAATTCAAACACTCATTAAGCTTTGTGGCATAAATATTTACTTGAGGTTGAGGCAAGTTCAGGGCATTTTCCAGATTTATTACCACAACATTTGCTTTACTACACGTGTGATCAATTTGGTCTTTCTTTTTGCTATCAAAATCATTTAAAAACATTTGTGCACCGATCGTTTCGGCTTCAAACTGTTCGAGCCAACTCAAACAATCGCGGAAATATTGTGGGAGTAAATAATGGCTTTTCTTTAGACTACAATTACCTTCTAAATCGTTTTATGTTTTGTTTTTTTTTTATTTCAACAGATTAATTACAGCTACAAATATGTTTCATGAAACCATTGTGGGAGTTAAAATTGCTTCTTGGAATATTTTAATTTATTTTGGCAAGCGTTTCTTGATTGTTTCCAAGCAATTAATTTGAATGGAGTCGATTTGTATTTTGCCCATAGGATTGTTTTGAAAATGAATTGTAGAAATATAGAGGGATCTTAGATAAATTTATAAAAATTAAGAGGAAAAACTAAATCATTTTGAACTATTTTCTAATTTTATTGATTTTAAAATTCCATCCATTTCGTTTTTATAAAATCAAAACTTTTATTTTTAGTATATAAGATAATGATACTCAGATAGTTTGGATCAAACTCATCTTCTTAGAGAACCATTAATCGTGATTACCTTTTAGATCTTGCCCTATGTCAAGGGGAGGATGTGCCACAGCCTTTCCGGTTCTCGGCCATTGTTTAAAATTCCTCATTCAACACCTCTTCCGCAGTATGAGTAAATCCGCTGAGCTGCTTTCCGTATTTGCCTTCGACAATCAGCGGTGCTCATACCGAGTTTAGCGAACACCACACGCCGTATGAGTAATCTAGCATGGATTTCAAACAATTGCCAGAACATCGTACTGGCCAAAAGGTATTGAGTGCGATTTTCGAGAGAAATCCGTAAAAAGTAAATAAACCAGAGCGGATATCATGCCATGCACACGCATGGTATCCCAAATGAAAATGGGAAAATGGGCTGTTGGAGAATGAATGCCTGTGAGTCACGCTTCTATTAGGGCATACGGATAATCAGCCGGTCTATTTTACACCCTCCTCTTTCGATAATAACAATAACAGCCGATGGATAGGAGATGCGGCTACGGGCAAGCGAACATCATCGCCGTAATTGCGGAAAAGCCAGTGGATGCTGAAAACAATATGGCAAGAAAATATGAAGAAAAACCGCACTGAACCGAAACGAAAACATTGCCAACTCTGAACATATGCCCCTCAAGATTTACTATAAATATTGATAGTTCATTTGGTTGGTAGTTTTGAAATCCCATTGATTAACCAGCGACCTCAGGTCTCCCTCGAATGCTTAAAAACAAAAAACGGGGATTTTCCCGGGAGAACATTTCGCAAGAAATGTTTTTAATTTTCCCAAAACAACAGAAGAACTTTTGTTTTGCTTTGGGGAAACAAACAAAACATGTTTTTATTTGTGCACGTTCTGGCTGCATGTGATGCGATGGATCAACAACCAGAAAATGCCATTAGCTTTGGCCTTAAACCTGTCAAATCAGCCGTTGAGTTGCAATTAACACCGCAGTGGAATGGACTCTGGTTGTAACTCGAAAAGGAAATGTTCGCCTCGGGAAACTGGATTGAAGTCTGTGCCTGTCTCAGCAAGAGTTTTATTTGAGTGAAAGTCCATGGTCTTATCATAGCTTAAGTATCCGGGAAGAAAGTTTATATTGTTTTGCTGCGCAAAACCAGGATATTCCAGGGGAACCATAAAAATTTCGAAATAATGGCCTTGGGGCAGAATATAGTCTTGTTAATAGTATTATTTTTTATAGTCATACCGCAGAATAATGCTTGATACTAAACACATTCTAATTTAAATTTTCAAGATCATTTACGGCTGCCAAACTAAAGACCTGAAAATCCGAAATTCCCAAATTAAAAACCCAAAACGGCCTGATAGTCATTACTTTGGAAATGTGAAATGTGCTCTTGGGCGATAAATTGGATCATTAAATGTTCCCAAATGTGCCTAATACTCTAAAATTGTATTAAGTGTAGTAAAACTGGGCGAGATTTTCAAAAAGGATCAATAACCCCATCAATTAGCGCCGAAAAAGTTATAAATTTCGTTTGGTGGCCCACTTTTTCGACCAAGTAGAACCAATGCGGAAATCTCTGACAATTGAGGCGCTGACCTTCTGTTTCCCTAAAGTCCCCACAGCTAATATATCAACTTGACAAATTTTCCCAGCGGGGGGTGTCTATTCTGCTTTCTGCGGCTTTCTCAATGGATCGCGGACCGATGTGGGAATACGGAAAGACCTGGGAGCAGACAATCCTTTTAGTCTGCCTGCCCATTGATTGATGGATTTTTCCAAAGATAAATATTTACGCACGATTCTCGGAAACACAATTCAGCTGGGACATAAAATTGGCCAAAACACAAGAGCGCATTGCCGTTTGGCAATTGAATTCGAATTGAAATCGCAGAGTGTCAGACTGCGTGTGTGGCGGGGATTCCTTTCGGACTGTCTTTTGTGCTTTTAGCATAAATTGATTTTTAAATAATAAAAGCCAATCAAATTTCGAGCGGCCAAATGTATCTGTCGGATAGCGAACACATGTCCCAGTGGTTGTTGTCCGTGTAGAACAACAAGTTGTGTGTCGACGTTGCGTCTGCAAAGTATAACTCATAGTTCAAATGGGAATGGAAAGCCTCCCGTTTCGCTTTTTGTTGCGTGCTAAGTGCTTGAACAAAATGTATCTATATTTTCTCTATAAGTAATAACAATTCTCGACTGTGTTCGCCGCATGAAAAGACAAAATCAGTCAACGGGAAATTTACGATCGCATGGAAGATTTGAATTCGCCTCGCCCGATCTCTGTAAACTTTGTGGGGCCCGAAGAAAATTTGAATTTTATTTCAACAAAATCGAGCCAACGTATAAGCAAATAATATAGAAATTATTATTTGGCAATGTGCCGAAAACCGAAGACCCCCAACCCTTCCTTCCATCTTCTGCGGGAGAATTGCCTGGTCTTTTGGGGACCCAGTTCGTATTCAAGTCCCGATCCCCTCCACCACCACCCATGTCGCAGCACTCTTTCAAACATTAAACGAGCATATAAAACTGCGTTATAAGCACACTTTTTCGCCCCTGCTGTGCCTTATTTATAAAGGTGACCTAAAAATGCATTTTGCATCTGGCAAATATAGACAAATTGAACTGCACCCATTGCCCGAAATAAACGCGGAATGATTTTCCACATTTCAACATCAAATTTATGTTCGATCACGCCTCCCACCGCTTTGTGGTTTTGTAAAATTGTAGCTACATACTGTAAAAACTTGACAAATGTGAAAACACATCGACAAGCTGGGGCAGGTGGGCTAATATCTATATGGTACTTATATATGCTGTATGCTAAATGATAAACATCTGCTTTGAAAGTGTCATAAATCGCTTAAGTTATGACCGGCATGTCGCCGAAGGAGAGGTGATTGGGCAAGGTGTGTGGTTCAGTGGGCGAGTGGGTGACTTTCGAGGCACGGATCTTTCCAATTTTGTGTCAATAATGCTATATGGCTATAAACATAGATACCAAATTAATAAACAAAGGTTTACGTTATTTCTAAAATAATTGATGTCAATCTAAAATTATATTTATTTTAAAAATATTTTATATATTTTATAATCGCTGAAAACTAAATATAATTTTCTAGAAAACAAGTTTGATTCAATTTTATAAATGAGTTCTGGGAATTGGGATTATAAGAAAATGTCTTAGCTGGTCAATCAGAACCAGAATTTGTGAAAATTAAATATATTTGTATATAGGTATAAGACTAAGTGCAAATACGACTGGCAAATATTTTTATTATTTCCAGAGCGTCAATATTTAATTAAACTAAGAGCAAAAAAACAACTGCTAATTGTTATAATTAACTCAGACAACAACTGAGTAATTTTACAAATAATTTTCAGTCTGAGGCCTACCACAAAAAGTACCAAGTAAATAACAGAAAGACGGAAAAATTGTATCTTACAAGTACAAATTGCAATATCAACAACAAGTTCCCGGCGGCGAACTAAATGAGTTCAGTCAAGTGACCCAAATACTACTTGTTTATTATTATTTACAACAGCTTAAATATCTGATTTTAATGCCTATTTGGAAATGTTTAAGATCGGGCCAGTATTATTTTTAACCTGGCCTCCATGGCTCCGTGTCTCTCAGTCGGTCTTCCTTTATTTATGAATCTTTAAACAAACTTTGATTCGACGAACTGCATAAAACGCAATTAACTTTATTTAACTTGGTCGGGCAGCTGGCGAGAATTGCAAATGGTGCCAAGTTTATATTCGCATTTACATGCTGTGATGTTCGGAAACTTTTTACAGTATTTTGACTTTTGGCACACATAATTTATTAAAAACAGAAACAAAAATGCGTCCAACTGCAATGATTTTTATTTGCCAGCACAGATGAAAGGCATCCATCCATCCATCAGAAGCCGACTGACTGGCGGACGGACGAACTGCATCCGTGGGATGGCAATTTCACTGGACAGTTTATGGCATCGCTTCGTCAAATAGAAAGTTTCACGTATTATGTAAAATATGTTTCGCCTTTTTTCACGCACTTTTTGCAGTTGCATCTCTGCAACTTATGTGCTCCGTCTGCCATCGCCAACAGGTTTGGCCACATCTCAGCCAGACTTTAATTGTGGCCGACTATCGACTCGGCCGTCTGCGGATTCGTCTAAAGACTGAGCTAGCACTTAAAAAAAATAAAAAATAACATAAAAATTCGATTTAATAAATAAATAATTTTAAATTCTCAAACGTGGTTAATACTTAGACATTTGTTACAAATATCTTATATACAATTGGGTAGTTTACGTTTTGGATTCCAACATCTTTTTTTGGATTTTATATAATATATTTCTTTTTTGTGAAAATTAAATATCAATTTCTTTAAAAGTTATTTACATTATTTTTAATTAATTTTTTTATATTAAATTAAGATGATAAAAACTGGCAATCCTTGTAATCTTTTGAAGTGTAAGCTTTTGTCTCGGTTTCGTCTGCTCTCCAGCTGTCACAATTTCACTTCGGCCAGACATTTAGGAGCAGCCGGCGGGCAGTTGGCGGTTGAGGTAGTGGAAGTGGTAGTTAAAACATCGGTAAAAGCACTTTCCTTTGCACTAGTCGAGATCCACTTGAGGTGGAGTGGATCGCATACGAGGTGCTAAGAGATCTGTTTAAATGTTTGTTGAGTGGAAAGATGCCGCTTTTTTTGCAAAGCGTGTTTGAAAAGTATTTGAAAATAAGAGGTGGGATTTAATATTTACATAGTCATTGTGCTTGTCATAAATTAACGGCTATTAATATCCACTAAAAGTAGAAAAATAATTTTGTTTTTTTTTAAGAATTTTTAAAGTTGGATGTTTACTTATTAAAGCAAATAAAGCTAGTAACCTTTTTTTTAAAACTTTCGGTAATATTGTAGATCGTAAAATTATAGATCGTAAGAATTATACTTTATAGTTCTTATTAGAAAGTTGTTTGCTTTTTCAATGGTTACACATCTTCAGAAAATTTAAGAGCCTCTTGCTTGCTTGGCTCAAGTAAACATTGGCAGAAAAATGTAAATATTCGAATCGTTTACCAACTGCACTAGAAATTTTAGAAATTCAAACAAAGTCTTTCACTTGTTTATTTCTCCGGCACCCTTTCACATTCATAATCACATATAATGATAAAATTTTCCACAATAAAATCATGTAAATATTTAAAAAACTATTTTCTGCAGAGCGAATCCGAATTCCTGTTGCCAACTTTCTGCCGCCGCCGGAATTATTTCATGCAACTTGTTGCCAGCCAGAACTTTCAGTTTTCTCAATACTTTTTCCTTCAATATTTTTGATTATTTCCTGCGATTTGCTGTTTTCTTCACGCTTCGTAAACGCAATCCCATGCAATGTGCCGGTGTCTGCAATTGCGGCCCCGAATTCGAATTTTAACCATAAAAGCATCCATCATTGGTTGTAGTTATATCTGCTTGATTTATTTCGCCTGGCATTTTTTCAATGTTTATTTCCCGTTCAGCCAAATTTCGAATTTTGGATGCCAAGTCGATTGCTAAACAACGTTTGTATCTAAGAAAGATATTCCACAAATGCATGTTTTATAAGCTGTTTATTTATGATGGTTTAATTAGTTATTCCATGTTTTAGTAGGGGTGTTCAAAGTTCGTTTTTGGGGGTTCCTCTTGTTTGAGTTTGTTTGCACTTGAGCAATGTGTCTATAAAAATGTTTTAAACATTCCGGAATGTTTTCGGGCTGCCAATTTGTTTGGCTCTTAGGGAATATTTCTTTGGAAGTTCTGGAAATCTGAAGATTTTATATTTAAAAGCACGAATTTCTACTCATTTCGGAAGAAGTGTTATTAGCTCATTAATGCCTCTGGGATTTATCAACAAGCTTCTCATACTTTTGCCCCCCGTTTCCACGCTTTTTCATGCCCACTTCAAAACTTATATAATCCCATTGCCTTGCTGAATCATTGAAACTACGTAATCGAAAAACCGATTTGTGTACAGCAAACAGAACAATTCATTAATTACAATGTCGGGATTCATATTTTGATTTGCACGTGTAATGCTTGCCCCCTTCAGGTGCACCCAAATGAGGCGAGGCACGCCCCCAACTACGCCCCCATACGGTGGCAGTCAAAATAATAGTTCTGAAAGTTCTGTTGTGTGCTTACTTCATGACTATTAAAAATATTATAACAATACTCCATTTAAAATAGAAATAGATACTCCATTTAAAATAGAAATTAAATTTGTTTATTCATATTGTTTATCAAACCTATTATTTATTTTTTAGGATTTTGTTTTCTTTAAATGCTAACCGTAGGAAACTTTATTTTAAACTACTATAATGAAGACAACATAAAAGGTTATTCATAAGAAGTTTTCCAACTAACGTTCCTATTAGCTTGTTAAAATGAAAAATTTCAGAAAATAATATTTCCTCTTTTGTTTGACCACCGCTGTAAGCAGCCGACTATTCCCGCACGTTGCTTGCAAGTTTTGTTTAATTTGCTGCGAGTAACGCACGTGGCAAACGATTGTGGCCGAGTTCAATAATCTGCTCACTTTTGCTTTATTACATTGAAAATCACGGCTAATTATTGTTGGCATGATCGGGAACACCGAACATTGAGAGCACACAGGGAAAACGTGCTGAAAAACTAAAAGCAGCTGCAGAAAGCAAAACTTTTCCCACTCCCCCCTTGGCTCTTCGAATTGGAAATGATTGCGTTTCGGCTTTTGATTTATAAGACAAATCAATTTGTAGCCGTTTTGTTGTTTTGGCATGCCATGGAAAACAAAGCACAGAAAACGAAAAGAAATTTTCCGACGTCGCTCTTGGCCTTAAGTGTATCTGGCCGAAGTGTTTATGTGAAATCCGAGAGGCTCACACGCTCCGTGTTTCCTTTCCTGCCGGTTAGTCACTCGTTTGCCCACCGAAAGCCCAGCGAGTCGGACGTTAGCCCAATTAAAAACTCAAGGTTGAGAAAATCTCGGCCGGGCGTGTAAGCCAACACCCAACATGCCGGCCATATTACCTGGTGGTAGTAAAAGCAAGCTTGCTTTTGTAACCTCAAAACGTGCTCGACAGTGAAAACAGTAATTATGCACCCTCCGTCCATGTGCACTTTACAGCGGGGGCACGAAAAGTGGTACTAAAGATAGCTTCCATTAAATGTCAATATTAAATGGGGCAGAACTGTGTAGTTCTTCAACACCACCTTTTAAATTGTGTAAAAGTTGAGGTATGCGAATTATATTTTTCGAAACCATAATATTATAATATTTCATAATGACATTTTAAAAAATCATAGAATACTACGATTTACTAGACAAGAAACATTGAAAAGAAAAAGGTTTACATTGAATACACAATCTTATTTATTGGTTTTATTACTTCTACCTCGGCTGTTTCTCGCTTACGTTTGGGGGTAAGCCGAGACCTTTACCATATCGTTTGCAAACACTTTAATGGGGCATGCCCCGATATTTAAGAATGTTGTTTGCGGTTTTGGCTTCGATGCACTCGATAATACGATACCCTACATTACCTCTTTTTTCCCTTTCAGGCACTGGCACCTTTGGACGTGTGTGCTTGTGTCGCGATCGCATTTCGGAGAAGTACTGTGCCATGAAGATTTTGGCCATGACCGAAGTCATTCGTCTCAAACAGATTGAACACGTCAAGAACGAGCGGAATATATTAAGGGAAATACGACATCCGTTTGTCATCAGTCTGTAAGTAAAACAATATGGAAAAAATTCCATATTTTTTACAAATAAATAGATACAATGCCTGAAAATATAACAAAAACGGAAATAAATTCAGTTTTTAATTTTAAAATATTTATAAAAAGTAGAATATTAAAAAAAACATTTTAAGTACTTATTATACAAATATTATATTTAATAAATGTATTTTTAAATTGAAATACCATTTATTATTTGTCACAATGCAAGTAAACAATTGCTTTCTAATGTCTTTAACAAAAAATGAAAAGGTCAATATTATTTTAAAAGCTATACAAATAGTTAATATTTATTTATTTAATCAATAAAAAATATTTTCTTCCTAATTTAACAAGGGAATGGTCCACAAAGGATGACTCGAATCTGTATATGATCTTCGATTATGTCTGCGGCGGAGAGCTGTTCACATATCTGCGGAATGCCGGAAAATTCACTAGTCAAACTTGTGAGTAACCATCCTTTTTAAGCAGTAACCCTTTATCAGTAGGTTTACTTGAATTTTAGCTAACTTTTATGCGGCTGAAATAGTCAGTGCTTTGGAATACCTGCACTCACTGCAAATCGTTTACCGCGATCTAAAGCCAGAGAATCTGCTGATCAATCGGGATGGCCATTTAAAAATAACAGATTTTGGATTCGCCAAAAAACTGAGGGATCGCACTTGGACATTGTGCGGAACGCCCGAGTATATAGCACCTGAGATAATTCAGTCCAAGGGCCATAATAAAGCCGTTGACTGGTGGGCATTAGGTGAGTTTCTAAGCAGTAATCTAGAGGATATGGACCATACTAACCAAGCATTCATTTCTAGGAGTTCTCATCTACGAAATGCTCGTGGGCTATCCACCTTTCTACGATGAACAGCCTTTCGGCATCTACGAGAAGATATTGAGCGGTAAAATTGAGTGGGAGCGTCATATGGATCCCATTGCCAAAGACTTGATCAAAAAGTTGCTGGTGAATGATAGAACCAAGCGACTGGGCAACATGAAGGTGAGAATCATCCGCAATCAGATATAAAATTTTTAGAAATGAAAATATAGAAAGTTTCAAAGATCTAACATGGGACTGGAATAAATAAACAATTTTTTGGGAGCATAACGTTTTTTCAGCTGCCGCACAATCCATCAAGTTTCTTTTTATTTCCTTAAATATCTTTTAATGATTAGTAAAATTAACCCTGTCAAAGTTTATTTATTTATTCCACCTTTTCCTTAGATAGACTCCCATAAAAATACTTGGCAAGCTTTTCGTTAGCATTTTCCGGCTTATTAGGCCCCATATTTATAGAGAATTGTTTACACTTGTCACAGTTGGATAGTCAGATTTTGTTGCTGGCATTAAAAATTGCATCGCATATATCAAAAATTAATTGTTGGCTATCGCAAACAGATCTGCACATGCTTGTTGTCAGTTAGCCTAATACATTTTCCTCAAAATCATTTTTCTTATTCCCCCGAATTTTGTTTTCGCCACGACGCGGTTGCTTTTTTTAATAGATTTGTCGCGCGTTTTGCAACACGAGCTAGCCAAATGCAGAACGTTATTTATGTCCAATATTTTGTATTTCATTCTATGTTTGCGCCCCGATTTCGGAATACCTCCCTCATTCCTACAGAATGGCGCCGATGACGTGAAGAGGCATCGCTGGTTCAAGCACTTGAATTGGAATGACGTCTACAGCAAGAAACTTAAGGTGAGTTCGAGGGTTCGTGCTCCAGAGAACTTTTCGTTTTAATTAGTAGTAATTGTGGTTATTATTTTGTGTGGATTTTTGCGTCACACATTTTTTGGTTGGGTTTTTGTCAGTCGACCAATGTGTATTTTCATACGTTTTCGTAATTAAAAGCAAATAAACAAATCAGTTTTCCAAATTAGCTGTGCCTTTAGTTAATGACCGCAGCGTCTATTTCGGCCGTCCTGGTGGGTGTTAGACCCATAAATCTCCCGATTCTCTCTGCCCAGCCCAGCTGGTCCAAGTGCGAGTGAAATGTAACAAAAGGGGGCATTTCGCATCTGAAGGAGAAGGTGTTAATTGCCCACATGAACGCCTCCGCCCAGGCGGGAGACAATGGGTTAAATGCGTCAGAAATGATTGTTACAAACGTGCTGATTTTTGCACACATTTCTCACTTTTTGCCCGCTAACTACGTATGTTGGATGTGATTTTAAAAATGAAAATATCGTTTTATTTTAGAGTCGCCAATATAAAAAATTATCAGTTACATTATAATAATAAGAATAAATCTCTTCGTGTGCATTAAAACCGTCATAAATATTCAACAATTAGGCAAAATATAAGATATTCACATCAGAATAATAATTTTTCGAATTTATTTCATTTATAGCCACCAATTTTGCCCGATGTACATCACGATGGTGATACCAAAAATTTTGATGATTATCCCGAGAAGGATTGGAAGCCCGCCAAGGCAGTAGACCAAAGAGATTTGCAGTACTTCAATGATTTCTAAATAAGAGCCGAGAAATTGTTGTTTTTTGTTTTCTGTTGAAAATTGTTATAATTTGCGACAGCAAGAACATTCATTATTTATACTGGCAATTAAGTGTTTAAAGTGCTGTGCTAATGCAATGATATGTAGCGGTACATATATCTATACATAAACTATATTATAATGTACGACTATACATAAACATACACCCATACATAGTAAGCTTAAGTTTATACCCGTAATGTTATGTCTAGCAAGTGACGTCTATAATTATTTATAAATATTTAATTGTTTAAATGTTCAAATTGCGAGCAGCCCCACACCCTACAAGAGTACAGCTAAAGTACAGTAAAGAATATATTATAAAAAACAAAAAATATTAACGTAAAACGTTGAATAAAGTGATACAAATTGAAATTCTCTTTGGCCTTTGTATTTTCATTTCGACTATATTTCTACACTTTCGGGGGATTAGTTTTGGATCCGTAAATCTGTCAGATCTTGAACACGAGTCACTTTGCTGAAGGCGTGACGAGCGTGATCTTTGTTTGACGTTTGCTTTTATATATTTTAAATTTTTCGGTACATTTATTTTTAAATTAAATTTTTTTTTTTGGTATTTATTTAAATTATTTAAAATTCAAAAATTTTCTACAGTTAATTTTAAACATTATTATTATTTTATTTTATTTATCTTCTTCATTTCGCCTTCCAAATTATAAGAAATTCGTAAAATCAGTTATACATTTTGGTTTACAAAATTTAAATTTTTTGGTCTGAACTTTTTAAATTGATATATTGATAATTATCAATTATAATTATAATTATAATTATAATAAATGTAATTAATTATATATTCCGAGATGTGCTATGTAAAGAAGTTTTGATCTTTAGCTCACATCCTCGTAGCTAGCTGATGATGGAAGCGTTGACAACGTACCGAAATTTGTTAGTCCTTGGAAGTTCAAGGTTCACTCCCCATGAAGTGCAAGTGTGTTGAAATGTGTTATACAAAAAGGAACAAACCATGATTTCGAGTTTGCAAAAATCCTGCCATTTTATAATAATTAAATTCAACTATTTTTTGTACTGTTGACCGTTTCCACCACTTATTTTAGACACGAACATTTCAGCGCAGTTCCGGTGTGTGCATCGGATAACGGAAAAGTTGAAAGCGATAATCGCTAGGAATCGGAGGGAATTTTTAAAACAAAAAGAATGATTAGATAAATTCATGGTTTTTTAACTTGCACAGAAATGGCATTAGATCAGATAAAGATTAAAGCTTTTTAATAATAAAGAATACAATTTTTTTACAGAAACCGGAAACTAACCTAGAAAGTATACTACAAAAAATGTTTTTCAAAAAAAAGAACACATTTTTTCCAGGCTAAATATTCTTATTTAGGGATAATAATAGTCGGAAGGTTAAAACTGTTAGGGTTATTTCAACTTGTTTTGAAATTCAAATTTCCGCCCGCCTCCATATTGGCCCACTGTGCACTGCGCATGTTGTCTCTCCTGCAGGGTGACCCAACTGAGTAAGAGTCACCCTGTGGCCGCCAAACTACCACCATAGCAGCAACAACAACAAACATGGCAAGTGCTTCCGCTCTCGCAGGCTTTCTCCCACTCTCACTCTCTCTCTTCCTGGTGGCACGCTTTTTACAGTTATACAGAGCGCGGCTTTTCACGAGCTTCGCTCCATAAAATCATTCAGTTTGTAGACAACGTTTGCCGTGGCCAAAAAAGAACGGACAAACACTATTTTAGTTGAAACATCATTTCCAACTGTAAACGGCAGCGCGATTATAGGCAACAAAAAAGGAGAAAATAAGTACGCCTCTGTGTGTGTGTGTGTGCGTACGTCACAGACCGCGCGAGTGTGTGTGTGTGCTGTGGGAAAAATCAGTAAAATGTTTATGCTAATCATGCGACGAATGTGCGCCAATTGCGTAAAATCATAAAGTGCATTAAGTGAAACGAAATTATATAATTAAGGAGCGGCAGTAGAAAATAAGCGAAAAGTATTTTTTTGGCAAATACAAAGAAAGGCAAAGGTTGCAGCTCCTCTTCCTTTTCTTCGCGTGTGTGTGTGCGTGTAGGTGTTGGCGAGTGTGGCCGTGTGTTGGTGTCTCGTGGCCAGCTGTCTGTGTGTGTGAGCGGCAGTGGGTGTCTGTATATGTGCACTGTGGGTGCAACAACGTGAACGCTTCATCCCGGAAGTGATTTGTATAAGGCCGAAAGCCTCTGAAATTTTACACCCAAACGGAAATAGTTGGTACGTAGAGCCCATATATTATCCATATTGTTACCGATTTGTTGTAAGGGTTTTTACGGTCCAAAGCCAACTTTAACAGTTGGTACTCGTCACCTTACATTTTATATTTTTCTTAGGTATAAAAACTAAAATCGTTCTGATATGGGTATCGGTCTTACAGTACCCAGTAATTGTTTAAAGCTTTTTATACATTTTTTAAATTTTTATTGATGATAGTTACTTAGATTTTTGGTTTGTATAGTCAAAAACCAAATAATCTAACTGTTTAATGGATTTATTTGATAAATAAAGTTAAAAATTACAATTTTTCGTGTTCGATGATGTTATTTTTTTCAGGCTGCTTTAAATTTTTATTTTTTTGACCATGACGAATTATATTGCACAGACTGTTTTGTTTTCGAATTTTTTTTGTCCGTAAGCAAACTGAAATAGTTGGCATACAGAGATCATATATTTTCTTGGGATGTTATGCATTTTTCACATTTTTCCTTGTTTGTTACTGTTTTGTTTTTATGGATTTTTTGTTCCTATCGATTTTCAACCAAAAACAACTGGGAAACAACATCGAACCATCCATCCGTGCGTCCCCACACACAAACACCCATACACCCACAATTATTTCAGGGGGAAACCACAAGCAACCGCAACTACGTATGGCTACACACATACAGAGGGAAAAAAGGGTTCAAAAATTAAGTATAATTTTAGAGCCAATGGATTTTCATTTTATTTCGATCTGTTTAATAGTGTGTTTAGTGTTTAGTTTTTTACACTGTTAGATGCATAAGTACAAAATTTATCGATAAATTAACAGTCAGTTAAAAACCAATTCATTAGCATTAAAAAATCTGAAATAAATTATGATGTTTTATTTTTATCTTGAAGTTAAACCATGGCTTAAGAAACAAGACGGTTCAATATAGCTAAGTTGTTCAAGGCGAATTACCCAGATAATAATCAAATGGTATCTTTTTTCTCAGTGTCCTTGTACGCAGGAGTCTTCACCTCACTCATTTAACAGTATTTATAGACAGTTTTTTTGTTTTTGCACGAAAACGAAGTTGAATTGCAGAATTTAATATGGCGGGCGGATGTGGCTTTTGAGTTTTACCTGCGAGCTTCGAGAAAAGGTGGGAGAGGAACCGGGGCCTCAATGGGCACTTGAGGTGTTTGGCCTGACAGTAAGGGCATTAATCAAGGGGCAAAAAGAAGGCGGAGCGAGGCGGGGTGGCCTGGAAAATGAAGGAGACACTTGTGCGCCTGAAGTTGGCCCTGCAAATGGCTAAACGTCTTCGTTATCAAATGGTCCTCGCACAAAATATTGATATACAAACGGGGCGGCGGATTGCGGAGTTAAGATGATAAATACTCGAAATTGATTGATGTCATTTTTTGAGAACGTACAAGTATCCCCAATAAATTGCAATCACAATTCTGCGGCAATGACGTCACCGCAGACCTATCCAGAAATACTTATGAACGTGAGTTCATGAATATTTCCCGTCCACTTTCAACCCCAAGCCGTGATCCCCTGTCTTGTTGTCTGTTTTTGTCAGCTTAGTTTCTTTCCGGAGCATTATAGTTCCGTATTTATAGCCAAGTTCAACCCTCAAAATGTTGTTGTCAACATTGCACTGTCCTAATGAACTACTCTACTCTCAGGCGAAGCAAAAAAAAATCCATGCAACAATAAACAAGTCGACAAATGGTAGGACATTATTTTTAGGGAAGAAGGTTACATATAGTTTTTTTTTTTAAATTCAATTGATTTAATTGATATTAAAATAATGTTAAAGGAATATTTTTATATTTATAATTAGGGTTGATAATCCAGCAACTGTCGGATGAAAGTTAATATCAAATGTTCTGTGATGCAACGTTTGAGCTACATTTTATGTAACTTGCTTATGACATTTTCTTTTCGAACTTTCCGTTTACAACTTGCAAACTTTTCATCAAGCATTTGCGACATCAAACTTTTTATCAATCAAACGCAGGTCCATGGAAGTTTTCATATTCCCCAGATACAAGGCAGACAAAATAAGGCTTATCGATAAAAATGCCAAAATGTGAAGCTCAGTTAAGCTCTAGTGGTTTTCATATAATTTTTTCTATCCCCATCTCCGTTTCCATCTTCTTTTCTAACTCAATTTCTATCTCCATCTTTATTACTATCTCTTTTTCTATTTCTTATTCCATTTCTATTTCGAAGCCAATGACACGTCCCAGCGGATCTTGCAATTTTAGCTACCCCATCTTTTGGCGTTCATCCTTTTTCCAGCAAACAATTAAGGTGTCCTTCGTCTTGGGCAATAAAAGAAACTGTCGCGTCAGATCAAAAATGCAACATCTCAAAATATGAGCACCATTTTAGCTTCCGGTGGATTTCTGTCCTCGGTTGTTTTCCTGCCGCTGTTGTTGTTCGTGTTGTTCAATATTTACAACCTGATGGCAGCGATGAGGTGAACGTCGCAGAACTGAATAAAACATGCGACAATCGGCAGGCGACAATGTCTTGGCTGAAGGCATCCTGCGATGCTGCTGTTGCAGACACGTAGACGCCTTAATGACCCGGGGGATTACCGCTGTAGACAAAGTCGGGAGCCCCTAACCGTGGGTGTTCCTGCAGCCCGAAAATCCCTAACAAAGACCAGGTGACCAGGATGTAAACTATGCAGCGGTATTGCCTCATCCAATTAGTTTAATAAACGTAAACAAAAATGTTAACAGTTTCTATTTGTAATTAAAAAGCTATAAGCGGCAACCAAGAAACGAGGGGGTTGCTCGGTGTAAAAATGGGGCACCGGGGAGGGTGCACTGCAAGAAATCTGTTTAAAAAATGTTACTTTTTATGTGCCTCCCGTATATTTGAAAATGAAATTAAAAGTCGAAAACTTAAAAAATAACTTTAATTTTTCTGTGACATTAAATTATACTAGAAGGGATAATAAATGACTTATATGTACTTTTCCTAAAGGCGCTTTTTCTGGTTTCTGTGAAATGCTAATGCCAAAAAAAGGTTCAGAAGCAGGAATGGCTTCCCCATTTCCTCAATAAACTTCACATTATCAATTAAAGTCATTATTTTTGTCCAAGTGTATTTGTGACTTACAGTGGGGCACATGGCAAACAGAATGTCAAAAGCAACCCTGCGAGAGAACAACAACCACCCAGTGGGGCGTGTGAGCCGCAGAAAGGGCGGCAGAGAAAGAGAGTGGCAAAGCTCTCTTTCTCCGCTCTCCTTTCTCCACTCTCCTCTCTTTTGTTTAACCCTTGCGCCTGCGCTGGGCTTGCCAGCGGACAATCACAAATGTCCATTCGCAATCCTGGCTGAGCAGCTACCCGCATGGCTTTGTCAACAGTTCCGTTTCCGAGGAAGCCCTCTCTCGAAACCCCAAGCCCCTTTACCCCTTTTTCCCCAACACCCGATAACCCTCTCCGGAATCCTGGCTACGTTTTTAAGAATGAACCACATTCCCGTACGTCATTGCCTTTGATTAAAGCATATGCAAACGTTTTTTTCCGCTTCTTCCACATTTTTTCTTTCAACTTCTGAGCTTGGAACATGTGCCGCATGTCCCTACTCCCTCCTCCCTTTTAAAATCCTTGGGGGATTTACATTGCATATGGCGAAATCGAATTGGTTTTTCAGCCAGCGCCAGCTTGCAATTTTTGTTTGGCTTGTTTTAAAGTTGAAATTTGTTTATGCGACCGACCGCATAAATTTTTGCATGGGGAATGCCTTTGCCATCGTCCTTGCGCTTGGCAATGTTTGTCCGCTTGTTGTTGTCATAGGTTAAGCCACAATTCGCCGGAGGGGTTTTCCGATGCAGGGACCGAGGCATTTGTTTAGGCAAATATTATGGGTCCTGGGAATGCTTTATTGCCTGCACGAGTGGAGCCCGAAAGAGCGGTGGAGCTATCCCCATCCAATGTCCTTAAAATCGATTTTTGCTACGTACAGAACTGACCGAAGGGAATTCTATCTGCCATTGGTGTGAAATCGGTTATCTGCGAATTGCGAAATTGTATATAGTTTCAAGGACAAGTCCGTTGGCAGAGCATGAGCGAATGTTATTTTACAACGGTTATTATATTATATTGGCCCAATCAAACAAAAAAGTGAACTGGATTTGAATTTTTATACAAAACTAATACCAATCGAAATATATTTCATTTGAACGCCTTAAAGCTTAAATACAACTAATCTGTGTCTTTTTATGACCAATTTTAAATATATATATATTTTTTTAATTTTATTTTAGAAAATTGTAATTATTTGGTGTCTTTGATTTTGTTTCAGATATATCTTGACAAATTGTACGTTGTTATTCATATTTATAAATATATTTAAATTTCTTAGAAATAATTAAAGACACCCTTAATCCCTTCACCTATTATTCTAAAATTGTGTACAATGTAATTAATAATATAATGTAAATTTCTAAGAAATAATTAAAGACATCCTTTATCCTTTAATTGTGTTAAATGTAAATAATACGGTTTTTTTTAAAGAATTCTGAATAAAATTGGTAAAATGATAAACTTCAAAGGATTATTCCCAAAGAAATGAAGAGTGAGCGATTTAAATGCTCAGTTACCTGCAAGACGTGACCAACTGGCCTTGGATGGCCCCCCAGCCACCTGCCTTGACCTGCTTGTGCGGTCTCGCTCCGATGTCATCAATTATACAGAACTCGGCTTACATCAGAGACTCCACCAGGCTCGGGTTCGAGCCACCTGCTTAGCCCTAATGCGATGGCTCTGGCTGCCAAAAAAAAGAAATACACGTAACACAAAAGTGACACAAAATCCAACATCAAAATGCAAAATCCTTGACAGCAAAAGGAGCCGAATATCCGAGAATTTGTACTTTAAGGCTTAAACCTGCCATTAAAGGCCGGGGGTCTTTTTTTTTCATTGTAGTTGTGGTGTTTGCTTTTTTTCTCGACCAAAAGTATGCAACACGAGAAATGTATTTCACAGTTTGCAGTTTTTGC